CCGGCGGGTCACCGGCCGTTGGTAATCATGCGCCTGTGCTATCAACCTTACAACCGCTCGGTCGTTGCCTGTTAGCCACAGGAGCTGGGGTACTTTAAACACGTGGTTTGGCCCTTAACAGCTGGCTAGCGATGGTAAGAGAATAAAGCGGAACTGGGCGGGACCAGGCAGGAAAGACGACTGGACATTACATGAGGAGAGCAAACACAGCAAGCATGTGAGCGCTTCAGCGGCACACGCAAAACAGCCAGAAAAACAAGTCTGGCAAAGGCCGACCACCGGCCACCAACCCAACCTCATCAACCACAGAACCGCAAACCCGACGGAGCGTGAAGGTGTCGAGCGCGACCCGCCTCAACCCAGAAGAACAAACCACGAGCCCCAAGGACGCCTGCCAGCCCCTGCATTCCCGAAACAAAGCCAGCACGGAGCTAACGCAGCGGGTAAAAACGGGAACAGGGGCGCACAAGGGCAAAACCCCGCTGCAGCTCCGGCCGGCACCTAATAAAGTTGGCAGGCGACCAGGAAAGCCAAAATCCCTCCAGGCAACCACCCGACGGGTACCCAGCAACCCACGGCAACACCCACCCCCACGATGGACAGGGCCCACAGAAACGGAAACCGACCCCGATCCCGGCACAACACCCGGAACACCACGCAAAGGAACAGGCTTGCCGACCCGTCACACAGACCAACCCACTGCCCACAACAGCTGGCCCCCACAACACCAATCCCATCCTGGAACGCCATTCCAAGTATGAAGTGCCCACCTCTCACGTACCCTATGCACGGCCTTGGCTTCTCACGTCATGCTTCACAATACGGCTCATCAACTGCTTTAACAGGCAACTCGGTCAACCTGGCTGCCCACTTGTAAATCCGTTAGTCGACGCCAAGCGAACAACCCCTTCACGACAACACAAAGTCGCACCCTGGCCTTTTACCCTCCAACTCGCTTGCTACCCTCCTTCGGGCTACCGCCAACACCGCTGGTAGCGTCACACCCCAAATGATTATGGAGTAAACTTCGTTTCGAGTATTCCCCCCTGCCTAGCCATGTGTACAACCTTGGCTTCTCAAGTCATGCTTCCCACGTATACGGCTCCTCAACCCAGCCTCAACTCATCCAACAAGCAACACGGCTGCTCCGGCCCCTCCGAGCAGCCCCCACACCGCTGCTTGCTGTGCTACGCCCCTCAACATTTAGCGCAGCCGCTTCCCCACCTGCTCACCACCCGCCTCCTGCTCCCCACCCGCACCCACTTCATAGCGCCTCCGGCGCCCCAGGATTCCGCCTCCGTCACCTCCCCCGCCCCCGGTGTCCCCCATGCTGCCTCCTGCGCCTGCACTGCTGCTGGCTCCTGCGCCTGCCCTGCTGCTGGCTCCTGCGCTGGGGCTCATACCGTGAGTCGGCAGCATTGAAGCAACCATGGAGGCTGCTGTCGAGGCTGCTCCGGCGGCAACAATATTGGCAATAGTTTCCACTTCCCCTTCACCCATACCAGCATAGGCCGCTAGCTGCATGCGAACGGTGGCTGCCACTGCCTCCCTAAAGGCATCCCCGCTAGGGCCAACCGCCCGAGCGGGGGCAGGCGCCGCAGCGGCTACATCGCTGCTTGGGGCCGCAGGTGCTTCAGCGACTGCGGCGGGTGGTGGGGCTGTTGCTGCCACAGCCGCGGCCGCCTCCGGCTGCCGCTGCTGCGGCGGCGGCGGCGGTCCCTGCCCCTCATTCGGCTCCTCCGTTTTCACCCGAGGGGTAAGCTGCAGCAGCTGCGGGTGCTGCAGCGCTGCCAGGCCCCCTCCGGCCCCAGGTGCGACCCATGGGTCGGCTTGCGGGGTCGCAGGAATGGGTGCGCCATCCCTGGGCTGCACCAGCCGCCAGCCGCTGCCTCGTGGACCGCGACCGCGGCCAACAGGGCCATCAGGAGCAGGAGCAGGAGCAGGAGCGGCATAGACTGCGCGTGTTGCTGACCGGGGGATGTTGCGGACCGCATGTTGCTCACCGCTCCCTTGCAGCTGCTGTCGATGAGCCCGCAAGCCGCTGGCCCCATCACCAGCCGCCGCAGTAGCATGAGTGACGGGTACGGCACCCGCCGCCGAGGAATCTGGTGGCGTGGCGGGTGCGGTAACGGCAGCAGCGGCAGCATGCAGAGGCTGTGGAGGTGCCGGCGGAGGTCCAGGTGCCGCACCGGCGGTACCCTGCACCGCAGCCGCCAGGGCCCCGGACATGCCGCCTGCTGCCGCCACTACTACTCCGGGGGAGGTGCTGCCTGCGCCTGCTGGCTTGGCTGCCTGCCCCTGCTGCTGCCCGCCGCTGCCCTGCACCTCCACCACGGCCCTCCCGTCCCGCACCACCAGCTGCCACCCCCCGCCCCTGCCGCTCCCGCCCTGCTCCTCCAGCCTCTCCACCAGGCCTGAGGCGCCACGGAAGTAGCAGCGGCCCTCGCGCAACTCCAGCCGCACCTCGTGCCGCTGCAGGGCGCCCCCGGACGTGGCGGCGTGCAGGGTGAGGGCCTTGTGCTCCCATGCCGCGGGAAGGACGGTGTGCTTGGGGGCCGCATGTAGGACCGCGCGCAGCTCCTCCGCGGCGCATGACAGCTGCCTGCGCTTCAGCTGCAGCCGCACCGGGACTGACGGCGCGGGAGGAGGAGGGGCGGATGCGGCTGGGGCGGTGGCGGCAGTGGCAGCGGCAGCGGCGGAGGCCTCCTCCTCCTCGTCCGATGTCTCGCTGCTGTCGTCGCTGTCATCACTGTCAGCACTGTCGTCGCTGTCATCGGCCCCGTCAACGCTCTCGTAGTCATCACTGCCACTGGCGCTGCTGCCGTCGTCACCGCCCTCACCACCCGCCGCCGCCGCCTCCGTCCCCGCCGCCTGGTTGGCCCCCGGCCCCCGGCGCGGCCCCACCTGCTGCAGGGTAACGCTCACACCGGTGATGACGTCACCGCTCCCGGGCGCCCTCACCGCCGCCAGGTGCAGCAGGTCCCCGGCCTGAGCGTGCTGGGACGCTAGCCAGGAGGTGAGGCCGGTGATGGTCCACTGCGTAAACGGGTAGCCGCCACCATCAACAGGTGTGCTATGCGTCATGGTTCCTGCAGGCTGCTCGGATAGCCGACCTGCCGCATCCATAGTCCACACCCGGACCTTCCCACCCAGCGGACCCTCTCCTTGGTGCCCGTCGAGACCGAGCAGCTGCACCACCACAGCCGTAGGAAGAAAGACCTTTCTGTTGTCCAGGAACGACTGCTTCAGCTTCACCCCGCAGCCAACAGGCTCCTCCGGCGGTGCCGCATTTACCTCCAGCACCACACGCCCACCCGGCAGCCGCTGCAGCTGCACCTCCGACCCATGCTGTAGGCCGAGGTCCTTGGCTAGCTGGGAGATGCCTGTCAGAATTGTCCCCCTGGCATCCACGTTGAGTTCGTACTGCCTGATGACACCGCCCCGAAACCTGACGTCAACGTGGACTGGCTGGGTGTGATTTGCACTCTTGGCGGCCTCCACTTGCGGACCAAACAGCTGCCGAATGGCCTTGGTACCGCAGAAACGGGTATTCCTATTCGCCCTGTCAAGTCGCAGGGAGTACGCCGTGGCAGGGCCTGCCTGCCCGTCACCCCTCGCCGAGCCAGCGGCCTCCCCGGCTCCACCACCGCTGTTGTGGCTGCTGCTGCCGGGACCGATGGCGGGACCGGTGCCGCCGCCTCCACCGGCCTCACCTGCCGCGTCTCCAGCACCGGTTGCTGCCGCCGCCACTGCTGCTGCCGCCGCCACTGCTGCACCGCTGCTGCTGCGGAGGCGGATTGCGTCGTGCGGTCGGGTGGCTGCGGGATGTGCGCGTGGGGATGCGTAGCGGCGGCCCGGGTCGCCCTCCTCCTCCTCCTTCACTGTTACCCACTGGACCGCCTCCATAGGCGTAGTGACCTGCGCCGCTGCTTCCGAGCAACCAAGCAACTGCTACTGGAAAAGGGTCTTACACTTGCAAGGAACTGTGTGCGGAAAATGCCTGAATGAGACACTCCTTTCACCGAGTTTTGGAAGGTGTCGAAAATGACCGGCCTAATATGAGCGGCAAACCTCGCCCGTTCTGTGCTGCTCTTAATAAACTTGTAAACAATTAGGAGAGTTGTGAGAATGAACCTTTGGTGCAGCAGTGAAGGGTACATTTCAGCGCTCCCCGAAACCAATAAACCAAAAGATGGATAGCTAAAGCGAATTACAGAACGTGTTGCTGCTTATAGCAAGAGTTTACCCTGACGTATCCTGATTATTGAACAGTGTACCGCGACTCTGGTCGTGTGTTTCGGCCGTGCCACCGACCCGCCGGGTCGCCAACGCCCTTTCCCACAACGTGCTGTGCCACCAAGCCCACCATCCCCACGCTCCTAACCCATTACCAATGTGAACCCTGCCATCCCCCCCATGGTGCGGGAAAGAAGTGCCTGGGTAGATGCCAGCAAGCCTTTCTCACTCGCCCCGTTTCACAATACCATCTCCACATTCGGCTCAGTGCATTCATTCAGGTCATGCACTCGCATACCACGGGTCACCAGTGCGTGCAGCTGCCACGCGGGAAGCTCGTCCAAGGGACCTCTCGGCGTGGAATGGCAACACAGCAACGGAAGTAAAGGAGGAACTCCACGCGCCACCGCCCCGAGCGAGCCACCGTGCTCGGGAGCTCAGGACACCTCTTAGCCTGCTGGCGTCACGAAACCAATCCCTCAGCAGGTCTCCCCTTGCCCCCATGATACCTGTGTGGAGTGGGAGGGTTGAAAAATGAAGTCAGCAGTCGAAAGGGCACCATGGCTTACTTCTTAACTTAGGTGTACCGGTATTGGGTAAGTGGCCTTCGCAGAAATGACTTTCGCTACACACCTAACAATGCAGTATTACTGCGCTTTACAAGCCCATAAACAACTCTTAAGAATGCACCAGTGCACCCTTAAGACATGTCGTACAATTGTGCCACAGCTGCATGTGTGGATAAGGCTTACACATACATAAGGGTTTCGCGGAAGCTGATCTTGTGAGCCGTCCTAAGCTTTAGGCCTAACGAACTATTGTCACTTATCCGAGAAATCATCCTGCTGCAGCGCTCAAAGATGCAGCAACTCGCTGGTCGCTCTGCTCCGTTGAGCACGGCAGCTCGCCCTAATGCCTGCGGACGGCGTGCACAGGTGATTACATACAAAATACTACTTGAGCGATCGCTACTGGCGCGCAAGAGGACCTCATGTAGCCGTTAGCGCGACTCTGCGACTGTGTCTTAGGAGCACAGCAATTGACTTCAAAGTTTGCTTACGCGAGGCTTAACAAGTAATGGCGCTCTTTGCGGTGAACATGAAGCCTTTCGGAGTCGCGACATGAATTCTTGCATGATGCGCAGGTCCGGGTTTCAGCCCGCTTCGCTAACTGGCGCGAGCAACTATCAAATGAAAGCTCACAAAGCGCACCCGTGGAACCTAAAAAGATTCTCATGATGGGTGAGGCGGTTGATAGTTCCTGGTTACGGTATAATAATGGGACTCCCCCAAGCGCTGTCGACTCTGCAAATAGCAACACATGCTTAAAATAAAATAGATATATACCCGCCCCATTCTGCAACACATCCGATGCCAGCTGTTGGGCGAGAACCTACTACGGTTCCCCAGCCGTCTCAGCCCCTGCCTGGCGTCACTTCATTGGCCCTAAAGCTTCGAAGCCCCGACACCCTTCCCTGCCGCGATCTCCCCATCCACCAGGCGGCACTCGCTTCATCGGTCTGTACCTGGCTCGACAGCTGGTGGCTGCGGGGCACGATGTGACGCTGTTCACCCGCGGAAAGAAGCAGGTGCATGCGGATGCGGTTTGGGGGGGGGATGGGGACGAGCAGTGGCATGCAGCTGGGCAGCCACACCACCGCATGTTGGCGTGCGGCTAAGGAAGATGTCGTTGAAAAGTGAGGGGATTGTTGTGAGAAAGGGACCTGAGAGTGTTAAGAGGAAGATGCCCCAGCGGGAAGATACCGGCACCCCAGGCCCAGCTCCCGCTTGCTTCCTGTTCTCCCTTGCTGCGTTGTCGAGTGAGGGGTGGGCAGTGGGCTGTCTGGTTCCGGAGCGCTGCCACATGCACATGGCGCAGTAGTGGCCAGCGGTTCACCACTCGGAGCTACTGTCCCAGCACCCCCACCCACTGCAGGCTGACCCGTTTACCTTCCTCGCCCTCCTCAACAACCCCCCACCAATCCGCCACACACACTGGAATTTCCACACATTGGAATTTCTTTTTCCCCATTCCGCCCCGCCCCTCAGGTGGCCGCCCCCATCCCCGACGACACGCCCGAGTCGTTTGAGGCCTTCGCCGCCTCCATCAAACACATTCAGGGAGACCGCATGGTGAGTGGGGGGTGCGTGCTTGAGACCGGAAACGGAACGGAGGCAAAACAGGCAATGTGTTCCAAACCCCATAGCCCAACTCCAGGGGTGGTGGTGGCTGGGGTGAGGTGGGGTGGGGCAAGGGCAAGGGTAACCGCAACCACACGGCAATGGGGTTTATCGCTGCTTGTGAGGGGGGTTCCCGGGGGCTGTCTCCGGCCTCCTGTGCCGTCCCGTCACACACATACCTGTACCGGTAGCCCCTCCGGGAAGCCCGCGCGCTGCCTCATGTGCCTGGCTGTGCTGCACCGTTTTCGCATGCCCTCGTGCACCTCTATTCTCCATACCGCATGTCGCCATGCCACCCCTGTTGCAGCATCAGCAGGGAAACGTTGGCTGGCATGCAGCATCACCCACCCTTCCCTTCCCCCTTCCCCCTTTCCATTCAGGATTTCCCCGAGGTGGAGCGCAAGATCGCACGGGAGGGCTTCCAGGGTGGGTTAATTGAGATTGTACGACACGGGGGGTCGCGGCCAGTTATTGTAACACTCGCCCAGTCTGCACTCAAATACCATGATACAACGACCACGGTCCTGCCCTGCATAGGGTGCATACCCTTGTCTCTGCCCGTTTCCCTCCATCCCCCATCCTCCTCATTCCCCTTCCCCCTTCCTCCTCCCTCCTCACCCTCCCCTTCTCCTCACCCCTCCCCTCCCCTCCCTCCTTCCCCCCTGCTGTACAGTTGTGTACGACATCAACGGTCGCGAGGCCGCCGAGGTGGAGCCGGTGCTGGCGGGCACTCGGTCCACCCTGGAGCAGTACCTCTACTGCTCCTCCGCGGGGGTCTACCTCAGGAGCGAGCAGATGCCGCACAGGGAGGAGGACGCGGTGGATCCCAAGAGCCGGCACAAGGTGGGCGAGGGGGTAAAATAAGGACAACTGACGAGGCAGCTAACGAGCTGTATGACAATGCTTCACCATGGGGTGCATCAAACATTGTAGCCGGTCCATCCCACCCTGCCCGAAGGTGGTTGAAGGGAGGCAAGGGGGCCTCGTGGGTGGGTGGGGTGTATGTGCAAGCGATGGGACGGACACCATGAACAGCAGTCGGCGCTCCCTAACTCTCACCACTCTCACCACCACCTCTCACATCCCAGCCTGTACCCCCTACACTATTACTCCCACCACCAAACCCTCTTCCCGCCCCCCCCCCCCCGCTATCCCACCCTCCTAGGGCAAGCTGGACACGGAGGAGCTGCTGTCGCGCTCCGACGTCAACTTCACCTCGCTGCGTCCCGTCTACATCTACGGCCCGCTCAACTACAACCCCGTGGAGGAGTGGTTCTTCCATCGGCTGGCGGCGGGGCGGCCGGTGCCGGTGCCGGGCAGCGGGCAGCAGGTCACGCAGGTGGGGGCAGCTGGGTACTGTGGGAAGGCGGTGCTGAGGGAGTCCCAATCCAATTTCTCCCGGAGGGAAGAGGGAGGGAGGGAGGGGTTGAGGCAAGGGATAGGGGCTTGGGGTGGAGAGGTGCTTGAAGGGGTCTGGACCACCATAGTTTTCGACGCCGGGGCCTCATCAGTTACCACACACCCTCTTGCGTTGGCTATGGCCCGGCTGCACCGGGTCGGTACGGCAGCTACCTGGCTGCGCAATCCCACCCTGCTTGGGCTTCAGTTATTGGCCCAAACACGCCCTGCTTGACTTGCTTGCTTCTGGTGTATGTCATTCCCAATGTAGTGTGTTCTCTCCTTGCTTGTGCTTCTCTTCAACGCCCTGTTCCGTCCCTTCCTGCTCCCCTTCTCCTCCTCCCTCTAACTTGTCACCTTATGTTGCAACACTATCATTCAACGCATGGTTCTCCTTCCTCTTTCCCCTTCGCACCCATCCCTTCATCCCTCCCTCCCCACGTCCGCAGCTGGGTCACGTGAAGGACCTGGCCACCGCCTTCGTCAAGTGCCTGGGTAACAAGAAGGCGGAGCGACAGATCTACAACATCTCGGGTGAGAGAATAGACAAGTAGCTAGGGCCCTCCTGCCCCCTTCACCGCTGTGCACCTAGCCCCTGCCATTCCCCATTCCGATACACCGCAACACCCCCATCCTTTCCAGCCGCACCGTGTCGTAACACACCGCACATATTCCAGATTCCCTAACACCTCACCCCCCCCTCATCACCCAGACCGCAATTCAGCTGAACTGTAACTGACTTAATGAGCCATTCGCAGTTTTATGGTTATTGACACCCTAACAACCCCCTCCTCGCCCCCACCGACCCCCCCCCCGCCCCACCAGGTGAGCGTGTGGTGACGTTCGATGGTATCGCTCGCGCCTGCGCCCGTGCCATGGGGCTGCCGGACCCCGAGATCGTGCACTACAACCCCAAGGAGTTTGACTTTGGCAAGGACAAGGCCTTCCCCATGCGCGACCAGCACTTCTTCGCATCCATCGACAAGGTAGGTGCGTGTGTTCAGAAACCTGGCCGCGAGTCGGAACGTACTGTGATTGCCGGAAGGTGAAGTGCGTCTAGGGGGGAGGAGGAGGAGCGGGGGGGAAGCATTGCAATGCTGGAATGGGCGGCGGATTATGGAAGGAACCATATGTGGAGCCAGCCAACTATCCTGCTCAGGCTAGTCGTGGGCACTTCACGCGACGTTGCCGCATGCTCCCAGCGAACCGCTAAACCCGCGCATGCCACCGCACCGTAACGGCTGCAGCACAGCTGTCGGGGGCCTTATTTCTTCGGGCAGCCGGCATGGGGGCTTGGTACTACTCCACCATCTTCACGACCCAGTGTCCCTATCCATTCACTCAGCCATCACCCATCCCCGTGCACCTTGCCTGCCGTACAAACACACATGCACACTCACGCACAGGCCATGACCGACCTAGACTGGCGGCCCGAGTTCGGCCTGCTGGAGGGTCTGAAGGACTCGTACGACAAGGACTTTGGGCGGGGCACCTTCCGCAAGGCCGCCAACTTCAAGTGTGATGACATGATCCTGGAGCGGCTGGGCAAGGCAGCTGCGGCTGGGGTTCCGGAGCCGGCACTCAGCCGCTCCAGCGGGCGGTGAGGGGGGGGGTGAGGGGGGTTAATGCCGTGTGGCGGTGAAGGGGCCTTGCAAGGAAACACGTTGGGCAAAGGCATGGAGAATTGAGAGGAGCGAACAGCGCAGGAGAGGGTGTGGTGGTGAAGGGGGGGGAAGGTGGTGAGGAAGGAGAGGAGCGGAGAGGGTACGGAAAGCTGAATAGCAGATGCGGAGAAGAGTAGGAGAGGAGAGGCCTAGTACGAGGACATTTTGTTATGAGTAAAGCTCGGATGTTATTATTATTCGTGATAGCTGTCGTATGCTGCCAACTTGGGGCGGTGAACAAGGTGCCGGGGGTTGCCGTTGTGGACGTTGCAGCACTATGGTGCTGATGGCCCTACCCGGCATGGAATCCATGCATGTTGGCATGCCTAGTCGCACTACAGTGATTACACGTATGCAGGCCCTGCAATCGCCTGCAAGGGTGCGAGCAGATGTAGGCAGTGTTTTGTGAAAAGCTCCCAGCCTGCTTTGTTACCAACAGCTGGTGAGCTGCTGCAGCCATGCGCTGGCGCTTCCAGGAAAACATGCTCGTATCCCAGACTTGGCCTTTGTATGTTATTCGCCTTGCATGGCCCCCATGTCGTATGATTTCGTATATGTACAACGCCTTTGTAACAAAGCAACATGTAACGAAGCAGTAGGTAGTGCAACTATCGGTAGTGGCGTCACAGTATTGTGCATAGCCATGCCGTACAGTACGACATACACAGCAGTACAATGTACAACAGTAGAAGCCACTACGATAACAAATGCAGTCCCACCCTCAGTCAATGCGCAATGGGGTGGTGCAACTCAACGTCAGCTCAAAGGCGTGTCCAAGCGACTCATGGGTCATCATCCTTGTAACCTACTCCAACTCCTCAGGGTACCAGAATCCAACGCCTGCATCGAACAGTGGTATATGTACATTTGGTTACGAGCCACCTTGCAATGCATCAACTACCGTATATGCCATATAACGATTTAGCTAGGGTCGTTCCCAAATACCGGCAGCGGGATGTTTGGAGCCGACGTGTCATACTGCGGCCAGGACAAACAAGTTCCCCAGCGCAAAGCAAAGGGGCGCCTCAATGTATTATGCCATGAACCAAATCGCCAACTCTGCGTACCAACTCGCCGGGCCTGCTGCACATGCACCTAGCGACCAAGAGGACACGTAAGGTTTCAACAGCAAGAACCAAGACGTCAACCACCAGCATGCCAACATACTAACCAACCAACCAACCAACTGCCAACTGGTATTGCCGAAATAGGTGCTCGCACTTAGCCTGCTGTCAAACTACATTGACAACTCCTGACAAGACGAAAAACTCACAACAAGACAGCAACCAGACTAAAGGTGATCTCCGCTTGGATCCCACACCAGGCCCAACAACAACTTATCCGCACCCGCCCGCCCTCATCCGCACTCTCGCCCAGGGAAACCCCCTTCCTTCCGCTGCTGAACCCTGCCGGCAGCCCGCGTTTGCTGCTGCTGACCGTACCTTAAAAGGCAACACGAAGTTCCTGCCGGTACGGCTGCTGGAGCCTCCCCCCTTGCGGCTCCTCTTCCCCTTAAGCGTAGCGACGGCAGCAGTAGCACTAACAGCCGGGTACCCTCATGTTGCCACCGCTGCTGCCTGCTGCTGCTGCCTCCTCTGCTGCTCCAGCTGCTCCGAGTAGCTGTTGAGGCGGCAGCAGGGCGCCAGCAGCAGCAGCGCCACACCGCAGGAGGCGGCCAGTGCGGTGAAGTAGGCGCCCCAGCCGTAGCGGGTGATGATGTGCGACAGCGGCACACCTGGGCACGAGAGGACGCGACGGGGATTAATATGCAGATTCCCCATTAAGCTAGATTTTAGGATGGCGCATAGTCAAACTCGTCGACGGGAAGGGGGGTGGGGTTGGGGTGCATGCACACATGAGAGTGGGGTTGGGGTGCATGCACACATGTGGGTGTGCGTTGCGGATTAGGGAGTAGGAGGAAGGTTGGTAAGTTGCGAAGGAGACAACGGTCGTTCCCAGACACGGTGCGTGTACCGGTATACCGGTATGTGGGGTGATGTGAGACCGCAGAGGGCAGCTTCAGGAGCAGGTGGCTGGTGCGACAAATGTATGCGGCACATGAATGCGGCCGTCACCCCCTCTTCCCTCCATACGCGGCTCCCCCACGACCTTTTCCAGCATGGTTTGTGCACTGTACGGCGGCGCCGGTATGACACCTTGCGATGTCATCCATCCGGCATTATCCGGCACCCCAGCAGCCCCACCAACGACCCACCCCATCCCCGCCCCCTCGCCCCCCACCTGCATTCGCTGCCCCCAGGTACGCCACCCAGCCCAGCACTCCCTGGCTGGCGCCCACACTAGCCGGGTTGACCAGCTCAGCACCGCACAGCCCGATCAGCATCTGGGTGGGGGTGGGCAGGAGAGAGAGGGAGAGGGAGGGTGAGGGTGTGCGAAGCGTGGGCAGTGAGGGCTGGTAGAACGGTGAGAACGGTAGGCAGGCCCGTATAACAAGGGCGTGTGGCTTTTGTGTAAAGCCATGTGGCGTACATCACCCCACTGCTCGACCCCGTAGCAGCACGTTAGCAAGGGAGGGAGACGCCATCCGTGCTGCCAACTGCCAGCCGCGCGACCCACGGGTCACCTGCGGTCCGTAGATGCAGAACCCGATAGCTGCCACCGCTAGCCACTGCAGTGCGGGCGGCGCGGAGGGCGGCAGTGCGCGGAGTGCAGCCAGGGCCGCCACTAGGCCGGCGGTGTAGGCCATGACAACCTGGGGAGGGTAGAAAAGGGGAGGTTGACGAGCTGTATGACGAAGCTTCACCACATGGGAAGGGAGAGGAAGGGGCATGGCAGGGCAAGACATGTGCGAGGTGCACGGAGGGGCTGCAGGGCGGTAGGTAGGAGTAGCTGGAGAGGCCGGCAGCCGCGTAGCTCAGTCATTCGGGCATTGTGGCCTTAGGAGATGACACGAAACGATGGCAAGGTTGGGTTCGAGAGCCGGTTGCCCTCGCAGTCGCCAAGGGCTGTAGCCTGAAGCGCCAATGCGCAGAGGTATAGCGGGTTCGGAGCATCACAATCCATAAAGGGGTTCGCCCAGGGTGGGGAAGTTCCCCTTCTGTTTCCGGCAATCACAGTACGTTCCGACTCGCGGGCAGTTTCCTTAAAACAACCACCTGCACTCTCTTGCCCACACTGCCGCTCGCCCATGCTCCTCGGCCGCCTGCTGCCTTGGCTCCCACCGCTCCCGCCGCTCCCGCCGCTCCCCTGCTGATGAGCACGTCCGACAGCCGGCCCGCCACCAGCCCCCCCACCAGCCCGCCCACCTCCAGACCGGACACACGCAGGGCAGCCTGGGGGAGGTGCAGAGAGGGGAGGAGCAGCGAGGGGAGGAGGTGCGAGGTCGAGTTGTGGAGGATCGGGGTGGGGCTGGTGCGATGAGAAGAGGAGGGTTGCGGGTGCCGGCGGGGAAAGCGCACGGTAGCGCAGTAGTGCAGAAAATGGACATACCATGTCACCGTACTAACCAGACGCCATCCTAGGCCCCACTCCAGTCCCCAGCCCCCCACCTGCGCCGCATTCGGTGCGCTCTTCTCGTTGAGCAGGTAGAACACCGTCCAGGAGGTAACACCCTGGGGTGGGAGGGGAGGAGGAAGGGAAGAGGCGAGGTGGAGTGGGAGGGGTATGGGAAGGAGTTGCTACAGGGGGGACGCATGGGGGGTGCGTTGATATTGACGCACCCTCCGTACACATACATACACATACCTGCCGTACGACGTAGATGAAGAAGTACGTCAGGGACAGGGCCCAGATGTACGGGTTCTTGAGCACGTTCTCAACCGCAGCCCGGAACACCCCCTGCTGCTGCTGCAGCTGCAGCGGTGGCGGGGACTTAGCTCGCGTTGTGCCGTTGCCATCACCCGAGGTGGGAGGGCCAGCGGACACAGTCGAGGAGCTGGTGCCGCCAGGGTGGGCGCCAGCGGTGCTGCTGCTGCTGCCGGTGGTGGTGGTGGTGGCGGCGCTAGTAGCGGTAGGGGCGGTAGGGGCGGTGGTGACAGCGGCAGGGAGGGGCTCGACGGGGTTGAAACCCGCGTCTTGGGGCGTGTCCCTGGTGAGATGTAGGAAGCAAGAACAAATAACTATAAATTACTCGAGGCGATGCGTGGAAGTGCGGGTTTACGGTATCGGCGCTCCATCTATAGCCATGGCACAGCTGGCTCGCTTAACATGCCCGCAAACTGAGTGCATCCTGCAGGGGATGCACCCACGTGTCATCCCTGCATGCATCCCTGCATGCCAGCAGCCCCTACTCCCCGGCCTCCAGCCCCCCACCCTCCTCCTTCCACGCCTGTTGAAGGCAGCATGCCTTTGTTCCCTAATGCACCCCTCCCGCCCCCATCTGCACGTACGGCATGGCATTCCTTCGCTCCCCCACCTGCACGCCAGCAGCACGTACGCCCCCGCTGCCAGCCCCGCCAGCCCCGGTGCCCACATGCCCCACCGCCACCCGCCCGCAGCAGCCGCAGTGGCCGCCAGCAGCGGCGCCGCGAAGCCGCCACTGTTGTGCGCCACGTTCCACAGCCCCCAGAAGGTGCCGCGCTCGGAGGGGGCGAACCAGGCGGTCAGCATGCGCGCGCAGGCGGGGGCGCCGAAACCCTGAAGAACCAGCAGTTAGGGTTGGGATCTTGGGAATTCGAGCCGGGACGCCGTGAGATCATGGTTCCGAAACCACTTCTTTAGCCATGCAACCTTGGCAGGCCTCCTGCTTAGATAGGAGGAGGCAGCCATGTGCGCACCTACAGACGCACGCTGCCGTACAGAACACAACTCATGTACGGCACCACCCTACCCACCTGCATGACGCCGTTGAGTGCCCACATGGCTGCGAACCAGGGCAGTGTGTTGCCGGCCCCCAGCGCCAGGTTGCATGCGGCGGTGGCCAGCAGGCCCCCCGCCAGCAGCTGCGTGGGGCTGGCGCGGTCGCCCAGGATGCCGCTCACGAACTTGCTGCTGCCTGGGGGGGCGGTGGGTGGCAGCGGGGGAGAGAGCGGGGTGAGGGCGGGAGGGAGAGCGGGGTGAGCGAGGTGAGGGAGGGCACATGGGCATGCAGGCAGTGGGTGTAAGCAGGGTTTCGGAGGGAGGGCGCGTGGTGTGGCGTGAGCTTCCATGCACAGCGTGTTACACGGGTGTCAATCCACATGTCTGCAGAGGAGGATGCTCTGGGTCGTGCTGACAGCAACCGTTCAGGGCACACCGTAAGCCTGTACAGCAGCAGCACTCGTACAGCGGTTAAGCAGGTGCCGTACGGCATCGTGCGCGCTGTGTCGTACCGTAAGCGATGGGGAAGATGGATGTCATGGTGCCGACCTGCTCCAGACTGAACCTCAGCTGCGGGTCCGCCACCATGACGGGGGCGGTGTACGTGAGGGAGTTGCGCGTCAGGTAGTAGGCAGCGTAACCCAGCACCAGGCCACTGAACACGAGCAGACGCCGGGAATGGAACCCGGGCGGCTGGGGTGCGGGAGTGGGAGGAGGAGGGACTGCTGAGGGCACGCGGTTGGGAGGGGTGGTGGTGACGGCAGGGGCGGGGGCGGCGGTCTGTAAGGAGAAGGGAGTTGGGCAGGGAGTTGAGCAGGAAGTGGGGTGAAGGTCGGGAATTTCTGGATGTCAGGTAGAAGAGCAGACTCTACGCTGCGACCCAGCGTTTGTTTTCCGCGGAAAACAGACGAGAAAACGCTGGGACCAAGAGCTTCCTCAGGCTCCCTAAACCCAAATCGTAAGGCTTACGAAATAAAACCTTAAAGGCCCAAATATACAACTGGTTTTGTCGCACCTGCAGAACATGAACTCCAGACTGCACGCCATTGGTATGGGCAGTCGCTGGCGGTGACGACGCGGAGGGATTTTGGGAGTCGCGGCCCTCGCGAAAGAAGCGTACAGTCAAGCGACGGTCCCGCGAATGCGCCGCACGCGTATTCGAAAACAGTGGGAGTCGTGACGACCGAACAGGAGTGCGCCTGCGATTGCGGAGAAGGTTTCTGTGTAACAGCTTGCTTTGAGTTGTTGGACGTATGTCGACAACGCTCGTCAGCGTTGACGTCACTTACGGCGCTTTGCCGGAAAGGGAAGCTGCGTTAACGGATTTCATTGCGTTAACGACGATCTTGGAGGACCGCTCTCAGGTCAGGGCGAAATGCGACCTTAGCGCGTGCCCCTGGGTTTAGGGATGGGTTCCGGCCAATGAGATGGATACGGAAAGACAGCTGCTATGGCTGGTTATGCACGCGTGCAGGATAGTAAACGACTTTGTATCCTGTAAGGATCTTTGCCACGAGCCGGGGGAAACCGCATCGCAATACTTGTTGGTCATGGCGATCGTTCGCAAGGATGACCTCCGAAACCAGTTTGACTTCCGTGTTCCGTCATGGTGCTAAGCAACCCTAAATAAGCTATACTTGCTAGTTACCATACATCCCACGCCTATTTGCATTGATAAAGGTTCTGCTCGGTCGCCTGTTGGATCCAGCTTTCAGGAAATACTCCTGCTTAGCTTACAAGATACCTAATAGTTAATACATTATCCTAAGCGTTTGACACCCTAGAGTGTTTACAGCTGCTAACATTTACCGCTTCGAACCTAAAAGCGCAGCTGCGCGAAGGGAGGCCCGCTCACGACGCAATTAGAGTGTTAACTTACACCGAATATGACGTTACCTTTGCATCCGGTAACTCCTGGGTTCGACCCGCGGCTAAGGAACCTTGCGGGTGAGCACATTGTTTGGCCCGTACCATGCTTAGCGTGCACCAGGGAGGCGGCTTGCGTTAAGCGGATTTGTGCCCTAATGGTGTTCATACGAATGCCCGCAGACCGGAAAATTGCGTCGAACTTGTTCCTCCAGCAGCTATTGTACTACCGCATCTTCTTCAACATCGCCTGGTTAATCTTTTGGATGGTTTTCATCTTTAAGAACGTGAGTCAACGGGGTCTGTTTCCAGCCTGGCTGAAGTCGCATGGACTGTTTAGCTGGAACGCTTTGAGGCTCCAAACCTCAAGCCCTTGTCATCCATCCTCGTGCTTCCTTACATGCCACCCTCCCCCCAGTACTGGGTAGGCCTAAAGCTCAAGGATAAAGACATCGTGCGGACAATCTTCTTCATCTTCTGGTTCTTAGCAGAGCCAATACGAATGCTGGCAGGCTGGTACGGCAACCTACAAGAGAACGTAAGCAAGGGGGAGGCCACCGAACCACGCGTCTGGGGATCTGTCTGCAGCTCGGCTCCATGCTTGCCCTCACGCGGCTCGGACATCCCCACTTTCGCCTTTGCCCTCGTATTACGCTGACCCGCAGGTACCATGGCTCCTAATGTTCACGATCCTGTGTTTATTCCCAGAGCATGGAACAGTCCTGTACCTGCTCGTGGGGTGCAGCGTAAGTCAGGCGCCGCTTTGCTGGGGCTTTAGCCCTGCCGTCCGAAAGTCATTCCCATGCATGCACAACATGTACACGTTGCTTTTTGTACTGCAGAGAAGGAACGCCCTTACCAAGGCGGTCCAAGCCGTCATGCTTGTGCTCCAAGAACTAGAAATGTTCACAGGCCTTTACACGGTGAGGTCTATACTTCTGCCTTGCATTGTGGAGTCGTATCGCATAGCGTCGGCCATGGGTTAGGCTAAGCCATGAGGAGGATCGGGCACATCGCTGCAGAGAATAGGACACGCCAAATGTTATACATTCCACGTCGCATTGAGACAGGTATTAAGGACACCAAGTTCACGGCGTCCACCATAAGACTGGCAAATCACAGTGTGTTTAGGTGCATGCGGCTGCTAAGCCCACAGCCCCACACAAAGTCCATGTCCAACAGTCATCTATGTAACAATGCCCCAAACCACATACTCCACTTAACTTCTTGGTGCAATTCGGGGCCCACCCACCCACCCTCGCTCTCACCCTCAACCCAACCACCCAGGTATTCACCATGTACCAGAAGCAGAAGCGGCAGTTCTACCTCTTCGAATACGTGCTCAATCAGCGAGCACGGGAACGCAGAGCGCTGCCTGCAGGAGGCGGCGGAGGCATCGGCTCCGGAACCCTCTCAACGTTGCCCGCACGATAGCCCCGCCGTACGGCGATATACCCATATATGCAAGGCGACCGGCTCCGGCGGCCTAAGCACATGGATCGTGCACCATACAGCGCTATACTATGAGCTCATGTGGAGGATCAGGCCGGGCGAGCGCGCCGTCTGGCATTAGCATTGGTTGCCATTAGGCTAAATGGAACGACACCAGCAGCCATGCGTCCCTCTAAGAAGCACGCCACCTCTTGCGCCGCCGCCTTGCCTCATACCAGAAGAGCCGCAAAACACTCACACCCACATCGGTACAAAGCCCCATCGCGCGCACCAGCCCTTCTCTTCCCTCAAACCGCACGGGTCCTCAACCCCTGCACGGGCAAATCGGCCGCCGCGGCTTCTCCTCTCCCTCCTTGGCCCCCTTATCCGCGTACTCCATCTGCCCGCTCTGCTCGAAGTCCAGCACATCCAGCGCCACCTCGCAGCTGTGCGCCACGATGGGCTCCGGGTCGGCCGCAAAGTCGCGCAGCAACCCCACAGTGACGCTGTCGGCGATGGCACCTAGCGCCTCGGCCGCCTCGTGGCGCACCATGGCATGCTCGGTGGAGTTCTGGAGGGAGGGGTTGAGAAGGAGATGGGCTAGGGAATGAGCCCTTGGAGTGAAGGGCCGAGAGGTGGAGTGGTGGGTGGAAGGAAAGAGAGGACTCACTCAGGTATGTGGAGGGTTTCTGGAGGCAATGGGAGTAGAGGATGGAGGTAGACGCGAAGGGGCGAGTAGCCGGGACGTTGGACCATGGCGGGAGGGATTGTGTACGGACAGCGCCACGGATGGCTATTACAAGCACCGGCAATGGAGAATAGGGTGTTCGCAGGTGCATAGAGCAGACGGATGTGTGTATTAGGGGCTTCCGTGCGAAGGTTGGTGAATATGGGGGCCCTTGGCAAATTCTGCGTGCATTGTGTTGCAGGAGAGCTTCATCTTCGCTGCCAGGTTGTAGTTGTAAGGCTGTAGGAAACTTAGTCTAGCAGACGCAGTCCAAAAAACGAACGGTATTAACGAATGAGCAGTGGGCGTTATCCCAAATGCTGCGCATGTACCTTCCCTCCAAGATCCCATGTAATTTGTATCCGCTATCTACCCGCGAAACCTATCTACGCACGCAGCCCTCCACCTCGCACCCCGCTTCTCACCTTGAGCACGTCCGTTAGGTATTGTACGGCTTGAGCGTCCTGCATCTGCCCCATCACATAAGCCACCTCGTGCTTCAGAAGCGCTGAGCGCGCGCCGAACACTGCTCCCAGCGCCGAAACCGCGTCCTTGCCGCCCTTGTTACGCAGCGCGAACAACGCGGAATAGCGCTGCAGGATAGGTGGTAGCCAGGAAAAGGGGACGGAGCACACGGTTGGGACAGGTGAGGCAGAGTTGGAAAGGGGCAGAGGAACGGCGGGACATATTATATTGCCAATTGTTATAGACCCGCCAAACCAGCCATGACCCGTCCCCTTCCGCCCCGACCCACATCAAACATGCGCTTCCGCTCGTCCAGCAGAATGGCCCTCAGCTCCTCCGTGGGGGTGCCGGCCGGCAGCGCGGGAGTGGGATCCACGCTGTAGTACGGCGACTCCTCGTTGCTTGCCTCGGGGTGCGCTCGCAGGTACTCTATCCGCTGCAGCGCCAGCTGACACGTCTCGGCAACCTGCAGAGGCACGTAGCGGCATGCATAGCGGCATACGATGGCGTGTGATGGTGAGAGAATGAGTGGGGTGGGTCTGGGAGAGCGGATCGTGGAAGGTGTTGGCACCATGGCGGAACGCTGGCGGGTTCTACCAGGGCAGCCTGCAACCCACTGCCGTGGAACCGACCCTTGCGCTTGAATGGCGGAGTGAATGCGCTACCTGGTAGCCCAGTTCAAGGCTCTCTGCAATGAACTTGTCCATGCCATAGAACCGTACCTCTAGTACTTGATCCTCCTCGTGATCCCGCAACGGTGGCAGGCACTCATCCGTGGCGATGGCTCCAAGCGCCTCCCCAGCCTCATGCCGCACCCTGCCGTACGCACACAGGAAAACAGTTCCTGTTTACAGGCAATTTACGATGTCCGTGTGCCACATGAGCCAGCTTGGCAGCTTGTCCCCGACTATGCAGCGGCGCATAGCTGACATTCATGTGGCCTGGGTAGCTCTGCCGCCGCCGCAGGCTGCGGTTGGAACGTATATCGAGCGCAACACCTCAAGGCTGAAGTCTGAAGGGCTCAACTTACATGGGGTGCTCTTCTGTGTTGTGGAGGATGTTGGTAAGCACTGATATAGCGCGGGTGTCCTGTCGTTGGCCGAGGCAGAAGGCAACATCATGGCGAAACAGCGCGCTCTCATCCTTTAAAGCTGCGCTTGACATAGTAAGCGGAAGCGGTTAGGTTATTCTAACATTAGGTATGGAGATATGCTGGCCACAGGAGCTGCCTTGCCCGCACCTAGCTCTAGGGCGTCATGTGCAGCCGCGCCCTTCACGTTCCTCAAGGAGAAAAGGACGCGATACTTCTCAGGAAGAGTCGTCTTAGGGTCTAACAACTTTTGCTTAAGGTCTAGGACCACCGACTCGTCGACCTCAACTAAAGGAGGGGCAGTCATCTTGCTGTTCCAAGAAGCCTAGCTTCAAGTGTACGTAAAGCTAGATATCCTGCGCGAAATATGGCTCAAAACTCGAACAGCAGCCGATGTGCCGGCCAACAACCAACCTTCCGTCCGTACGCCAACCGCTATACTGTCCTTAGCCACACGCACATGTGAACGCGAAGGAAGGACACGCGTATTACCTTTCACCATCGCGTGATATTCTCTCCCGCATTGAAAATGTCACTACACGCTCGGTCATCCCTGCAGCAGCTTGCAGGAGCACTGCTTGGATGCCAAAGCAGGTTGCCGCTTTTAGCTCAGTCCTGCAGCTTTAGCTCATCAGGGGCGCCAAAGCAGTCGGCGGCCATCATCAAGCAACTCCGGGAGCGAAGCGGCGCGCCGATTGCCGATGTCAAGGTAGGCAACCTTATTTATAGCATGGGTGCTACAAAAATTCCATCGTTGGGTTTCGGCTGACGCACTGCAGTTTAAATGCCTTGAATGTCGGGTGTTGATGGACCCAGCGAGCAGTGGGTACGCCTGAAGATAGTCGCTTTCTTCATTTCCCCTACCCCAAACACTGTACCACTCCTTATGCCAGAGACTGTTACGGCCGGTTGTTGTACTAAAAGCCTTCCCTAATCCTGGCGCTTTTGTAGACCCGCTTCCTCGCCCTTCTCACCACCCCATAACGCAAACCTCGTGCATCACACCTACCGCCCCCTTTTCCCCACCCGCCCCTACAGAACATGCTTGTGGAGCACGACTGGGACATGGAGAAGGCCTATGAGGCCCTCCGTAAAAAGGGCCTAGCAGCTGCTGCCAAGAAGGCCTCCCGCCACGCCGCAGAGGGCCTCGTTGGCGCCTCCTTCGCCGCCTCGGGCGCAGCCAGCAGCAGCACCGGCGGATCTGGATCTGTCGTAGTCGTGGAGCTGAACAGCGAAACGGACTTCGTTGCACGCAACTCCATGTTCCAAGACCTGCTACGGGATGTGATGGGTGCAGCGCATTCGCTGGGGCCTGCTGCGGCGGTTGGGCCGGACTACCAGATGAACTTGGAGCAGGTGCGAGGAGGGGTGGGGTTCTGGGATGGTATGTTGGGGTTACGGCTGGCCCGTGAGAGGAAGTTGGGGCGTGGGAAGACTGGAGGGGGCTTCTTGTCGACGTGGCGGCTGGGGAAAGACCTGCCAACTGGGAAGCGCACTGAGGGTGAGGAGTCCAGAAGGTTTACACCCATATGCCGTGGGCAAACCTCTTGACCCGACCCACATGGCCTGATGTCAGCCCCTCGGAGCAACCCTCAGCCCTCGGCCCCGCCCTTTGCTGCCCTGTATTTTCCTCTTGCCCCCTGTCCTTACCAACCCGTCCCTACCACGCCGTCCCATCCCTTCCCCGCGCCCCCCCCCCTCAGCTGCTCTCCGCGCGCACCTCCTCGGGCGCCTCCGTGTCCGAGGCGGTGACCAACCTGGCGGCACAGGTGCGGGAGAACATCCGGCTGCGGAGGGCCTACCGGGTGGACAGCGGAGCAGGTGGGAGGGAGAGGAGGGAGGGGTTTGGGAGCGACCGGGCGGGAGGGAGAGGGAGGGTTGGAGCGGAGCAGGTGGGACGCTAGGGTGCGGAAGGGGAAAGGCGTGCCGAAAGGACCCCGCGGAGGGGCGGCGGGGTTCACCTATTTCCTTCTTCTCTCTTCCCATGCTGCTCCCCCCGCGCTGCCCACGAGCGACATGGCTGTGTCGTGTGCACACGCTCGTGGTAATTGTGGGGACTGCTTCACCACCACCCAGTATGCACGGCTGGCATGCATGCTCCTCACAATTCGTAATCTGTCTCTGTCCTCTCCCCATTATTATTGTCGTACGCAGACGGGCTGGTGTTCCCGTACGTGCACCAAGCGGCTGCTCCCGGGCTGGGCAAGCTGGCTAGCGTGGTGGTGCTGCAGCCGGGGGCGGCAGGGGGAGCGCAGCTGGGGCAGGTGAGGGGAGGGCTGTGGAGATGGAGACAGAAGTGAAGCACGGTCCCATGTCCCGACTCGTGCAGTGGGCGCAGGGAGGAGGCACTGGGGTAAAATGGATACTCTACTAAAGCAATGCCTCTGCTGCTGGGGTGGTGCTTCCCAGGTAGCGGCACTGCTAGTGGAGGGGAAGAGGTAGTGGTGGTTGGGTAATGCTGGAGAGGGTTGGTGCCGTCATGGGGACGCTTTGCAGCCGTCTTAGTGGCAGCACTGACAAAATGAGACGCGCATCCAACGTTGTCGAGGGCGAGGGAAGAGGAAACAGGGGAAGTGTCCAGAAGTTAGCATGAGGCCCCTATGCCACTATTACCGTATGGACACACATGCCCACGCATGTGTGGCTCCAGGCTCCTCCTCCGAGTCCCTATGCCGTAGGCGACAGTACTGGTAGTGCTGCCTTTCGAAATCTCAAGGGGGCTGAGAGCATGCCGCTCTCCTAACCGCATCCTATGCCACCCTGTCACCTGTGCCTCCCTCTCCCTCTCCGGTCCCTTACAATCTTCTGTGGTCACGGTCTTTACTTCATTGCGGCTCAGTTACGCTACTCCCTCTCTCCGCACCTCCTGCTGCAGGCCCTGGAGTCCAGCTCCGCCTCCTCCCAGCAGCTCCAGTCGCTGGGTGAGGGGCTGGCCATGCATGTGGCGGGCATGCGGCCGCTCTACCTCAACCGCGCGGGCGTGCCGGCGGATGTGATGGCTCGGGAGCGGGACCTGCTGGGGCAGCAGCTGCAGCAGGACGAGACGTTCAAGGGCAAGCCGGAGAAGGTAGGGGCAGAGGCGGGATATGGGTGTTCTGAATGGATGCCGGTTTGGGCATGGGTTGGGACCGCGAGAGGGGTGGCCGTGGAATAGACGTGCGGGGTGGAGTTTTGTTTCTGTAATGCATTCACTCTTGAGGTGGCATCGGATGGCCGCGTGCGGGGTTTAGGCCCGCTTCAATGACCCATGGGTCATCAACTCGCCCCCCTCGTCGTGCCCATATGCCCCTGTCTGCCCTGGTCTGCCACCCCTGCCTCCCCCCAGGTCATCAACAAGGTGGTTGAGGGGCGGCTGGGCAAGGTCCTTGGCGACTGGTGTCTGTCGGAGCAGCGCTACGTGCTGGATGACAGCGTGTCGGTGGAGCAGCTGCTGGCCAGGTAGGGGGGAGACGAGGTTAGATGAGAAGTACAGGTGGGGTCGGAGATATGCCAAAAGAGGGTGGGGTGGGGGATAGAGAGACCGAGTTGGGTTTGTTTTGACACAGAGGGAGGTATCGCGGTTTACCTAGACACAACTGCAGCCACTGCTCATCCACATGCCCTCCCGTCCCTCTCCCTCTCCGATTGATCTCCCGTAAAACTCAGCACCCTCCCGCCCTTCCTTCCGCTCCCGCACAGGCTCCGGAAAGAGGCAGGACTGTCGGTGCGCGTGGGCAACTTCCTGCGGGTGCAGTGCGGCGAGGGGCTGGGCGCCAAGGAAGGCGGAGACTTTGCTGCGGAGGTTGCCCGCATTGTTAACGATGCGTGAGCGCACGAACGAGCGAGCCACTGTACTGTGTTTATCGCGCGCGCGAAACGCTGTTTTCTTGCCGTTGTGTAGCTGTAACCTACCAACACGACGGCTTCATCAATTGGAAGGACGGTTGGGCGCGAGTGCGCGAAGTCTGTCAGGTGGCGAGTTACGCTTTGAGCAGGCACCGGATTGGGATTAGCGGAATGCTAATTTGGTCTTCATGCAGGCGTCTCCACCGGAATACAGCCGGCGAAGACTCGAAGCGAAACGGAGATGGTGAGAAGCTGGGAACCTTCGGGAGAGCATTAGGAACCTCCGCTGCACCTCAGGACAGAAGTTGTGTGGCGGCCCAAGGCCCCAAAACAAATCCAGCAAGCACATGCAGCAAAGGAGGTGACCGAAAATGTATGTTGCGTTAGTGACGGTGCTCTGGGAGCCAGAACCGTCTGGACAGGAGCTCAGGTCACAGAGGTCACCAAGCTTCCCCGAACGAGTCTGAAAGTTTACACTCCAGATTATAGGGTAGCGAGTCCACATAAGACACTTCGCAAATGCAAGAAGCCAATGAGTTCCCGCGCTTTCAGGAACAAGCCTCGGTTCCCGCACAAACGTATTCGCACTCCTTTACCAACCGTCATGTGCACTCTAGGCATCGTTTAACGTGGACGTCCTAATTGACGGGACTCACGCGAGAGAAGGCCGGACCTGTACGGCAGGTCTTGGCATGAAGCTTTATTCCTTCAGCGCCCATATAGCTCTACATAACACCACGACCGAAAAACCTCTTTACGCACAACACTCATCTGCAACTAGGTGCTCGCGCACACGCGATATCCCCTACAACGTGTCTTCACTGGCCCTCTCCTTCCTTGCTTTGAACCGCACACCCTCTGCACCTGTTGTTAACTAACAAATGGCAAAGTTGATCTTCCTAAACGCCTGTGATGGTAATCAACACGCCGGCGTTAACGGCCGCGAAGCGCGGGAGACTCTACCCAACACGTCACCACCCACAGCGCTTTCTGGCCCTTTGGAGCAGATGTTTAGTTCTCCATATTATGAGGCGGATGCAACTCCTATTGCTCCACACGAGGTAGGCCTAGGACTGACGGCCCTTTGCTCTGGCTTAGCAAGGTGGCTTTCGGTGCTTACCTTAGCTTTATCTACCCTTTGTGTAGGTCTCCTCTGAGGATGTCGATTTGGCAAGGGCCTGCAATTCGTTTGCAGCTTCGTTCCGCGCTTCTGAGGATGCGCTCTTCACAGACGCGGAAACGGGCGTGTGCCACGAAAGCCTAGGCTTTAGCGACATGCCTATGGTGCAGCAACAGCTACCATGCATCAGCCTCCCTTGCGGTGCCTCCGACCAGCCCATTTCATTATTGCGCAACCCTTCGGGCGAGTGCGCTGAAAACAGCGATGACAACTTCAAGGGCTTTGTAGCAAGCAAAGCAACTGAGGAGCGGCAGCTTTTTGCAGCCTGGGTTGCTGCTCCCGCTGTGGTGGAGAGGCTTCCTGTGGTAGAGTCGCCCTCAACGGCAGTCGAGGCAGCTCCAGCCAGCTCCAGCGCCGGACTAGAGCACCGCGGGGAACGCGACGAAGGCGGAGTTGCCCCCGAGGAGATGGAGGAAAGCGACAGCCGCGCTTCTGAGCCAAGCGCGAGAAAAGGTGGGTTGTGACCTGTAGGCAGCTATTGGAAGGTGTTGGGTAAGGGCCCAACCAGCCCTCCCTGGATCCCTCGCTGGAGAAGCTTACGGGTAATTGAGAAGCACATGGGTATTCAGATTACTGGCACGTGGATCACCCCGTGCCCCCTGTTGGCTTGGAGATACCCGATTTGCTCTTTGGGAAGTCCCAGAGAGTTCTGCTGGGGAAGAGGTTTTCCATGTAGGGGCCGGGCGGCCCGGCCGCGGCTCCAGTAGTGTTTCCCTGACACTTTCAGTTTGTGGCTGGTTGATGTTTTCTCCGTCGTCACGTTTTTTGCGCCGCCTGAACCCTCGTGATGTCCCTTCTTGCAGAGAACACTCAGCGCACCGGCGGTGGTAAGGCGCGCAAAGCCAAGACGTCCAGGAACGATTTCTGCCGCGAGTGCGGGGCGACGAGTACCCCCCAGGTAACAAGCGTCGCATTTGCTGGTCTGTCTTTCGTGCGCCTTGTCGCGTCTGCAGTGTACGGTATACAGCTTCTAACGAAGCGCACCTTTCCTTGGCTGTTTCCTGAAGGTTTACCCCTACATGTACGTCTGCAATGTCCCATGGCCCTCCTATCCTTTCTTCGTCATCTTCTCATTGATTCCCTACCTCTTCTCCCTGCCTCCCTTCCTCTCCCTGCAGTGGCGCGAAGGCCCCGAGGGTCCCCGCACGCTCTGCAACCGCTGCGGTGTACGCTACAAGAAGTCCCTCAAGAGCGAGCAGCAGCGCAGCCGCCAGGCGCATGCGGCCGCGGAGTTCACCAAGCGGCAGCGAGTGCACTGAAGCAAGTGCATCGAGCCGTGCGGTTAGCTGTCAGTTGTCTTGCTGCTAGGCCTGCCGTACGGCAATGCCGCGGATACGCAGCGTGGCACGATGTTTAGCGCCATGCGTGGTCTGCGGGTTGCATGTCAAGGACTGGGATTGCAGATTCTCGCCGCGGCCCGTTGTAGGTCGCACATGCGCGCTGTGTGCGCTGCTGCGAGGCCATCTCTGGTGCAGCCGGGTTGAACCCTGGGACTGGTGTGTGTGTATTTGCTTCTGGGTTCTAACTTTCCGAACAGCGGTTTACAGACGCTACTTTGCCAGGGTCGAGCCAGGGGCCCTTAACACGGCCTGCTCTTGATGTAGGGTTGTGCAAGAGGTTCGTAAGGTTGCTGTATTAGGCGTTGGTTAAGGTCGTAGGAGTCTCGTTAGCTGCATGAGCTATACAGTTTGTCGTTGATTACAGTGTTGAACCCGTATGGGAGGTACCGTACTCGTAGGCAGGGTGCGCTGTGGATGCAAGGTAGTTGCACGAGACGCGTTAGGGTCTTCTGCAAGGTGTTGTGCGACGCCGGTTGCGGCGGGCTATAAATAACAGCGGTGCGATAGCCACATGGCATAAGGGATTGCTACAAAAGGGCGGCCTAGAATTGTTTTTGCATGCATACTAAATGTTAAAAGCATGTCTGTAGTGATGGTTTACGTACAGCACTGAGTGATGTGGTGAGACGAGGAAGAAACATATTGACGGCGTAAGGGTGCATGCATGGCTGACCTCCGAGTTTCCGTGTACTGGGTATGCCGGTGATTGTGTTTTCTATCCATGCCGGTGTCAGTGCGGCCACAGTAGGGTTGGTGTGGGCTGCGCAACTTGGCGCCTTCCACGCTGCCGTACAGTTGTGGCGGTGTCGCGCTGCCGTACAATTGTGGGTTTTGCCTTCCTAACACATTAGGACGAGGTGTTTGAGTGGGACGCAATTGCGTTTAGAATTCCTAGCATGATCAGTTGTACGCATGAGAATGTACGTGAGGTGTGCGTTGCTGTTTTAACAAAGAAGTGCACAGTACGACCCATATGGGAGTCTTCCAGAAATCAGGCAGGATGTACTGGTAAAAGCTGAAGGTTGTGTTAGCGTCCGTGTCTTTTCGCGACCCCCAAAAGTGTTGGCGGCTCATTACGCCGTTCCAAGGTGTTGCAATTTTACAATGGGCCTGTTCAACCCGTCTTGCGAGCGTGCTAGGGTGTTTCCCCGTCTCTTTGTTTCTTCCGATTTGTTAGTGTACTGTATTCACGGACAGTTGACGTGTTAGGGGATTAGGGGATCACAAACCACAAAAGCCTTTTTATATTATCCAATGTAGGATTGGTCTGTTTGTTTGTCTGTTAGTGATGTTGCGCGACGTGTGTACGGTGCGTGCTTGTATGATTCCGGGGTTTGCTACATGACCGCATGTTAGCCCCCGGAAAAACCGTTTGTCTAGTTAAATGCACGGAGTCTTCTTTTTTCTTATCTTGGTGTTTTGAAGAGACAACAGAGTCTCTTGGCTGGTCGAGTGATAAGGGACCGTTGTATACATGCTACGGCGTCAAGATTTTAGGTGGAGACTTTGTATCAGATGCTTGCGTCTTTCCGCAACTGTTGGGTAAAACATCATCTGCTTTTTGATAGCCCATAATGGCTGGCTCCTGTGGAGGATTACAGAAGGGATTATTAACGACATTCACAACCATACCATACGAGAGTACTTGTGGGAGCGTCCAAGCGTTGACATCAATGTAACCATGATGTGCCTGTTTCCAACTGATTACTGCTGCTTCATCCACAGGGCGCCGACTAACCTGTTTGTTCGTACCAGATGTACACACCTCACATCTATTTACATAAACAGCCGTACCGACCCTACATACGTTGAAACCTCCTTTTGCAAATGCCATGCGCATGCCCCGCGTATGCAACAGCCATGATCCACAAGCTCCAAGTCCCCCTCGTCCTTCCTTGGCACTAAGCCCCATGCACTTGAAAATCCACGATGGGCATTCCTTTAGTGGTATGCGGTAAGCCTTTGTAAACCCCGTCAACTTACTACGTGTCAACTTCCCCAGATGGTGGTGGCAAGTCAATAAGCCTAGGACGCCACCCCAAGCTGCAGTCAACAGGGTCCATTGCAGCTTCAACAAAGGCCCCATAGGCAGCGCCCCCCTGTGGTGCTATAACATTGCCTCTGACACCAACTTGGCTACGCCTTTGTCCTCCTTCGTGCTGGCTCCGCTGGCTTCATGCATCCTCCTATACCTCCTCTTGCCGGTCTACGGCACCTCCTCAGCTCCTCTTGAGCGCCTCCAGCCGCCGAGTGAGCTCGTCGTACTCGTCCTCCACCTGAGGGCGGGAGGGAGTAAAAGGGCGGGAGGGAGGCCAGCCAGGGGACCACCGGCAGGACCAGCCAAGGAGTGCTGGTTAGTAAGGGTGCGCCCATGTAGCCAGTTGCAGGGGCAGCCAAGTTGCGGAACGCCCAGCTGTGCAGAGCACGGTGTCTCTGATGCGACAAGTCCAAAGGTGTGACAGGGTGTTACCGGTACGGTGGGTGAGGCATGCTGTACTGTGTGCCGTACAAACCCACCTGGGGAGGCGGCGGCGGAGCGGTGGGCGGGGCGGCCTTGAGGGATACCTCGTGTGGTGCCGGCGGCGGCATGGGGGGTGGCATGATGGGCTGCTGTTGAGGTGGGAGGGGCGGTGCTGCTGCTGACGCTGCAGGTGCTCCCTTGGATGGCGGCCCTAGAGCCGCATCGTAGGCCTGGAGGAGGCGGTGAGGGGGAGCAGAAAGGATAAGAGGGGTTTCGTGGTTGGTTACCGGTATGCCCTACTTGGTCAGATCGCGTTAGGACGCTGGGTCTTCGGTGCTACTACTACAGCTACCGGTATGCCAGACCGCTTCCTTGGCGGTACAGCCCTTCGTCTCCCTCTCCTCCAACCCCACACATCCTCATCGCACCCCCCCCCCAAACCTCACCCGCTGGATTTCCTCGTTGCTTCTGACATGGTACCCGCCCACCGCGCCTCCGCCTCCGCCACCCTCGGCTCCCCCACCAAACCCGCCGGAGGGCCCTGCCACGCCGCCGCCACCGTCCTCATGCCCTTGCAGCGGCGGCGGCGAAGGCGAGGAGCGCACGAACGCGGCACCTCCATTGCCGTCAGCCCCCCGCACCGAAGACGTCCATGAGGTAGCGGAGACGGTGCTCGAAGGCAGTGGAGGCGCGCCGCCGTTGGGTGGCAGCGGTGGCGCAGTCAGTGGTGACGGCCCGCGGCCGGCGGCGGGGGCGGCAGCGGAGGATAGTTGTTGAGTCAGCCAGCCCTGCGGACGAGGACAGGCGGGGCAGGCAGGAGACAAACACACTTAGGGTATCGGTACACAAGCGCAGACGAGCGGTGGTGGAGGGTGGTGTAGAGACGCCCGGGTTGCCTACTTAGTTGCCTACAACGGTGCGGGACATAAGCAAAATGTGATCTCCTTTAGCTTGTTTTTCTATTAGCACGACAGCATGGTAAGCAGTCATCTTGCATGCTCGTGTGAGGCCACCCCTGCCAGCAGGTCTCTCTTGCGAGAGACCACCGGACTAGGTCAGCACCCATGTCGGCGAGCAAGCCGTGTGTTCTTACCGGCGGAGGCGGCGCCCCACCGCCCAAGGCCGCCACCTGCGCCGCGTATTCGGCCGCTGCATGCGCCTGCGCTGCGGCTTGGGCCGCCGCATGGGCTGCTTGCTGGGCGTTGGTGTACTGCAAGGAGGAGGGGGGGTAAATATAATGAGACACTGACGATGCAACTGACGAGCCGTATGAAAAGGGGGGGAGGGGCGTGAAAAGGGCGGGAGCACGGAGCATGGAGACGGGAAGGAAGGAAGGGAGCACGTGTTGTCGTGCAAGCGTTGCCCCCCCCTCCCACACCCCACTGCAAGTTCCATGATGCCTTCCGACTGGCCTTTTCAGCTGCTCCCCCCAACCCACCTGCGCCATCAGTTGCGGCGAGGCCGGCGAAGGAGCAGCAGCAGCAGCAGCAGCAGCAGCAGCAGCCGGTGCAGCAGCGGCAGCCGGCGTGAGCGCCCCCACTGCCGGTAGCGGGTGCGAGGTGGTCGCATGTTGCAGCGGGAAGCCCGGTCCGCCACCGCCCACCCCGCCGCCACCACCGTTGTTGCCCACCCCCAGGCCCATGCCCATCTCACGAGCTGCGGTGGCCATGTCCCACTCCACTCCGTACATCTGGGCGATCTCGGAGAGCTGGGCCTGAGGGGTGAGCGGTGGGGGGTTGAGGGGGAGGGGTTGAGAGGGAAGGGATACCGGTACCGTATTTCCTGCACTGGGAGGCGGAGGTGGGAGATGAATGGGGGGTTGGAATCTCTGCAGGAATTTAGATGCAGTTGCAAGGGGTGCTGCAGCTTCAGCTGCTGAACTGTTGGCTCCTCCTTTTGGGTGCTTGCCTACTCGACCCATCCGCACAGCGCCAAGCATACAGGAAAACAACCCGACGAACGGGTAGGCCTCCTTCCTAGCAGCTCATTCGGCAAGCCGACCGGTTCCTGCCCCATTACCACCCAACCAAAACCCGAATCCAAACACACAGGGTCCCATCCAATGATTCCCCACCCCCACACCCAGCCCCCCTCCCCACCAGCTTCTCCTCGGGCTGCGGCGCCTCCACCAGCAAGCAGCGAATGAGGTTGGAGTTGACCTGGCAGGGGCGGGGGCGGGAGGGAGGTAGGCGGGCGCAGCAGGAGGTGCGAGTGTGTGCTTCACATCACACCACCAGGTGTGTGCAGGTTGGCAAGACGGGGGACACGATGGTGCCGGCACGGGTGATGGGGCACCCCTACGAAACACAGCCGTCCCCTGCACCTTCCCTCCATTTGTTGATCTCATGGTCGCGACTATTTCCGCCCTCCGCTGTGCCACGCGACCCTACATTGTTGCTCCGTACAAAGCCCGATGATGACTCCTCCTCCTGCCCCACCCCATCCGTCACATACCGGCAGCCCGGGCGCCGCGGTCGCTTCCGGGCCCCTCCTTCCCTTCCCTCCCTCCCATCCCTGCCCATCCTTCCCCCCCGCAAGCCCCTCCCTACCCTCCCACGCGCTTCTCCACATGCCGCCCTCTCGCTGCCGGTAAACGAACCTTAGAAACGTGCCCTACAAACCCTTAGGGCCCCCCCTTCTGCTCCACCCCACCCTTAGCTCCCCCCCTCCTACCTGCCACTTCGCGGTGGTTGCATCCGCTGCCGCCTCCGCCGCATACTCCTTGCCGTACTTGCTGGCGAACAGCCCCTTCAGCGTGACCAGCTCGGGCAGGTCGTTGATGCGCTGGGGGGGGGCGGAGGGAGGGAGGGAGGGGGTGACAACAAACGAGAAGTGCAGCAACTGGAGTCCCAATCCAGGGGGGAGGGAGGGGTGAGGGAGGGGTGAGGAGGGTGTAGCGGGGAGCAGGGAGCGGGAGGGGTGTGCATGTGGGGTGAGGAGACCTGCGGCATGGAAGCGCAGCAGCGCAGTTTGCCCGGCAGCTCCCAACACACCTCCTTCATCCTGTCTTCCTGCACGAGCCTCCCTTCCCCCCCACCGCCACCGCCACCCTTAGCCCCCTCTCCCTCTCCCTCCCCATTATAACACCATACTTTGGAATTTCTTTTTTCCCCACCTGAGCCGCGTATATGATGCTGGACACCGCCTCCATCATGTCCCGGGGGAGCTCCTGGGGGGGGGCGGTTGGGGGGGCAGGAAGAGGAGGGAAGGGTGGAGGAGGAGAGGGAAGAGAAAGGAAGAAGATGGCCAGGAGAAGGAAGGGAAGAGGCGGACCGCATGAATGAAAGGCGACGATAGGTGGTGCGATACAGCGCGGTATAAGGAGGCAGCTAGGTAGGGAGTGATGGGCAATGGGGTTCCTAACTAAAGGTACTCAGAGGCCCCTGTCGTACAAGGGGCCTCTGGCTTGGTTGAGGACACAGCCAACACGGGCGTGAGAGACCCGAGTAGCCACCCAGACTGACCTGCGTCTTGGCGATGAGCTGCGTGCGAACCGTCAACAGCTCCAAGTACAGCTCCAGAATCTCAAATGCCTGTAAGCGATAATCGACAACGGCCAACGATAAGGAAAAGGTACTGTACGACACCAGTACGGCAAAACCGGCAACACCTGTCCTGCACGTGCTCCTGTAGCACTAGGTCTCAGAACGTGGTACCTCGCAAGCGCGCACATGTAAGACGTGTAGTCCTATGCGCGACCCATCCTCGCGGCAGGACACACGCACCTGCAGCATCAATTTCTCCCGGATCACGCCCTCCACCCTGATCCGTGCATACTCCTGCTTGCCGGTGCGCAATAGCTCCGCGATATCCTTTTGAGTCTGCTTAATCTGCGGCAGTCAGGGATAGACATGAGATAAGGTGGAGCAGCACCGTCCCTTGGACTGGAGTTGACACGTAACTGTCGAACGGGTCGGTGGGACGGTCACAGCAGCATATAAAAGTGCAAACTAGGCAGACAGACGTGAAGCACCCCAAGGCTTCAACTGACTAGCGCGTGAAGGAAAACAATACCCGTGGAACGAAGCTAGTCCAAGCCTAAAAAGGGAATGCTCACCTGGACAGTTTTCTTATTGCGTATAAGCTTAATCCTGCCAACGCACAGCCTACTAGCTGTCTCGCTGCAAACAGATATGTGCCCCTCGTGAGGAAGGTGGAACAGCGCGACACTTGGATGGCAACCAATGCACCATAGCGCTCACCATTTTGCTGTGTTGAACCTGTTTGAAAACATCTTGTTTTAATGCTTTTTTGGGGATCTAACAGCTAGCAGCTGCGCTGAAGTAATTCTATTATGATAGGTGTCAAAGACCCCGAGCCATGGAAAGAATGAAGTTACAACGGAAACGGGGGATGGCTGTTAACAAGAACAGTACTGTCTGAATTTGACGCTTACGGTCGATACTCCTTTTCGACTAGCAGCTGCAGCTAGCTACTCTTCTCGCCCTTACCCCGTACAAATTCGGAGCCACCAACCGCTGCACAGACATCAACCGCTGCACAAGTTGTGGCTCTGGCCCAGTCCCTTCATCGGTGTCATAGAGTTCACATTGCCAGTGTTGCTGTTACCAACCACATAATCCGCGCGTCAAGGGTGGCTGCAGTTCTGCGCCATGTCTACACCATGTCTGCATGCAAGCATGGACAAGTCAAAATGAAGACAGCACGCTCTACTGCATCGAGTTCTGTAGGGGTTGGCACAGACGCTCCGCAAGACGTTCATACCGTGTGCGCCGTAGAGGCCACCCAAACGTTTGCTGAGAGGACATAGGTACATACCAGTATGCGTAGGCCACTTAGCATAGCAACAAGTTATAGTCAACAACCTCCTGCTGGCATAGCGTAATGCCGTTAAACCCCACTACTTCAGGCAAGCGGGTGGTTGGATTGCACGCGTCCCACGCTTCCTGCGGGCCTTATGTCGACATCGTCCCCAAGCCTTGCATGGCCAGTCCGATCACGATCCCTCCACGCGCTGCCGGGCCTCACGAGCCTCACCCCCTTCCCGTCCTTCCGCGGCTCGCTTGCGCGGAAACATCAGGGGGGCCGTCGTCCGCGGCCGTGCACCGCGCACCCACATCTCCGCCCTCGTCACAGAGTCCCGGCCCAGCTCAAAGACGCTAAGCTCTTCCAGCGACAGCTTGCTCTGGAGCTCAAGCACATCCTCTCCAGAAACGGTGCTGAGCCCCTTGGAAACGAGCTCGCGGTACCGCGTCGCGTACGTTCGCGACAGGAAGGCTGAAAGTGAAACGTCGTGCAAGAACTCATTGCACTTGTTGCCGACGTCGTAGAAGTAAGGTGCCCGGCCCTTCAGGTTAATGCACTCGGCGCCCGCGTTGAGCTTCCGACGATACCGTTCATGGTATATCTCGGGCGCGCCTAATGTCGCCATCCCTCTGCGTGTCAGAGCTGCTGCCAGCCATAAAGGCGTATCAAGCTTGGCATCGGCTTCTATGTTATTGTTTGTTGAGCCTGGCTCAAGGACGCGAGCAACGCCAAGCACGCCGAACTTAAAGCGCGTGGGCACCACCGTCTCCTCCGCCAAAGCGGCATCCATGTTCCAGTAATCGGTCATTCCTTATGAATATAATTAAGCGCGCAAAGGTCAGTCTGCTTATCGTTCGCCAGCAACAGTCCACATTGACAGCTCGGAGAAGTACAGAAAGTTTAAATAAGTCCTTAAGTCCGGCAAAAAAGAACAACACTAGCAATACATATTTGTGGTCTTACCCGAAAGGCTTCAATTATTGCATGCATTGTGTACTGCAGTGGTTGTGGAGCCGTGTACTACATTGGCCGTGGGACGCTGGGACCGCCGCTGTCGCTGACTTTACCGGTATACTCTTATCACTCATCTCTTTGTGTCCTGACTACCAGTCTTGTGCTCCCGTACAGTCCAGTAGTGCCTCTTGATACTCTCCAACTACCACTTTCCACCCGCACTGCTTTAAACAACCCGTACCCGTAGAGCGCACCCGCCAGCTCATCACGAAGCGGATTGGCAGCTGCATCGTGTGCATCATTACCGCATGCGACAAGGGGAGTACGGAGGCGTGGTTGCACTTAGATGCCCTCTTCTTAGGAAGTCCGTGCCCTTCATAGAGATACCGACGCTGTTTTCAGCTCTAGCATTGTTGGAGGTGAACACGGCAACAAGTCCCCACCCCCACGGACCAGAGAGGAGCGAAGGCAAGGAACCTAGGCTCGCACGGCGCATGGTGTGGGCCGCATCCTGTCCAAAACACACGCACCAAACCCCAAACCCGTTAAAAGGCAGCATGGCCAACGTGCGGTTTGCGCACCCTGCGGCCCACGGGGTGCAAGCGTGTGGCCAACCCCAAGCAGCCAGCTCGCCGCCAGTTTTCTTAACACCCCGCCAGCGCATGATGCAGACCTGTTCAGCGTTAGTAGGGGAAACGTACCCAAACGTACCCATGCCCCTACGCAACACGACAATGAGAGAGGGAAAGAGTCGCCACACTAGACACGGAAGGCCCGCGCCGGGCACTGGCTCCATGCACACTGCGATGGCTGGTGGTCTTTCGCCGTGCGAATGGCCTTCAACAGGAAACCATACGAATCAGAAGGGGCTAAACTTGTGACTCACTGCGGGTCGAGGTAGGCATCCTGCATGGGCACAAAAGACGCCGTGGCCTCGGGGGGAAAGGAAAAGGGCCCACTGCCTCTGCCAAGGAGAACCGTCATGTAACAGTAGTAATACCGGTACAATGATCGACACCACCGTCTTAAATAGGGTTGCTAAAATCCAAGTCACGAAACGCAAGGCAGCAATACGCGAAGCGTCGGTCGCCAGGGGAGTTCACAAAGAGTGGTAGGCATGTTCGGATAAAGATATAAACGCACGCCTGATTGCGATCTTAATCGGTCGTACACTCAAGTACCGTAATATCCGGGAAACCGATAACGCCAACAGTTACCGGTATCCGACGAGATCGATACCGGTAGCTTCAAGTTATGACACCATGCTAACAGGCGGGCTCAGGACCCAAACCATTCTTCTACTACTGTGGTCAACGCCATGCATGGCAGAAAGCAACGCAAGGCAGCCCGATACTCACACAATGCCTTGCTTCTTCCGCCACGTTTCATGCAAGCGCACATGTACGCCCCTTCTCAAGCACAAAGAGGCAACAGGTATCATACATATTCATGTCAAACGGCGGACTAACTATGGTACAAACACCACACAATCTTCGACAACAAGTGCGGATACAGTGTGAAAGAGGCCAACCATATCCAGGTCACCGTTTCCCTGAACTACTACCATCTGCTTTCTTCGCAGCGTTGCTGGAGCCGTGGAGTGCGGGTGAATGTACCAGATAGATAGATGACCCATTGACTATATGGCCCATTTCCGTACATGCACTATGGACAGCAGCCGCCAACACTCCTGCCCCCATCTTGCAACCGTGATCACACACCTGTCCTCCGCTAGGCCCGCTCGCTCACACGTAGCCCGACACCCGCACCCAGTCCACCAGCAGCTGCGCGGGGAAGGCGGTGGAGGCGTCCGGCGGCCCCGGCCAGTCGCCGCCCACTGCCAGGTTGAGGATGACGTAGAAGGGCGCGTCGAAGGGCGAGTTGGGGCCCGTGGGGTTGGCGGTCTGGCTGGAGGTCCACCAGCCGTTGTCAGCCAGGGCGTGGCTGATGGGAGGAAAGGGGGGGCGGGAAGGGTTGGAGCTTGGAGAAATGGGGACGCTTGAAAACGGGATAATTAAGCAGTGTTTGGGGCGGCATCAGGACTCCGTGAGGAGGGCTTCAGGGCACGCGGGCTTTGTAATCGCTTTCTTCATTTCCAACGGCAGGCAGGCAGGCAGATCGTAAAGATGAGTAAGGGCTTTCTCCCTTTCATTTACACAAAGGACAACGCACGGGGCGGCGTAATGGCGGGCAGGGTGCAGCCAGTTCTCACCTGTGGGTGGTGTAGAAGGTGACGCCGTCCACCTCGAACCACATCTGACCCGCGCTCCACTCAGCCGCGTAGGTGTGCCTGTGTGGGTGCGAGCGGGGACGGTGAGAGGAGCCGCAGGCAAGTTGACAGGTCCTCGGCCCCTGCGGTCTCTTGCCTTGGCGGTGCAGTGCAGTGCTGACTCACGTCGCTGCAGGGGTCAGGCTCACTTGGTGAAGGGGCAACCTGAACCCCTGCTGAGCAACAGCCCCTGAGCCCCAACGGTAGCCCCCTTTTCCCTCAGTCCTGCTGTCTCTCTCACGCTCTCCGGCTTCCCCCCTGCTGCTGCTGTTCGGATGCCACCGGGGAGCAGACCAGCGCTACCTCCCCACGCCTACCACCCAAGTACGGAACCCGGCCATGGTCTTCCTCCTTCCCTCTTATCTATAATGTTTCCCCCCTCCCAACCCCTCCACGGGTCCACGACCTACCACTCCAGGCCCAAGTTGAATGTGGCGGGTTTAAAGACGCCTTGATTGCTGGGATGCCATCCTGTCAGCAGGCATGCAGGCAGCAAAACGGGTGTTCAGCAGCAAATGTAAGCCAAGGCTCGGGCAATGCCGGAAGGTTGTTACGGAGTGCGGCTGAGGCAGCGGTATGTGGAACTGGTTACATGGAGCAAGGAGGGGATCACGAGCGACGCTAGACGACACCTGTGTTGGCAGTCGCCGCGGCTTGCTGAAGACATAACATGGGTAGCCTTAGGACGCATTAAAGGACGTTTCCTCGCTTGGCAGCCGGCTAACGGAACCGTAATTAGTCCCTCCCCCCATTCTTTTGGCCTCGCTCCCAGCCTCTCCCCCAAGGGCCCGGTGCCCTACGTGTTGCCCTACTTGTTCCCCTGCGGAACCTCAAGCTGCACTCTCTGACGCACCCCATGTGCCGTACGTGAGGTAGCCGTAGTGGATGGTGCTGTACAGGGTAGACATGTCGTTGATGGTCTGCATGCAGCGGTGGAAGCGGAGGTGGTCAAGGGACGGGTTGTTATGGACAGCTTCATTATTACCGTTGAAGACGTTGACACAAAGACACGACTTTACGGTTGGTGTTATTGTTCGCAGGCGGTCTCAGACACAAACACCAGTGGCATACCATTGGATTCCCACCAATGTTTTCGTTACTCAAGCCGTGCCATGCCTCTTATCGCCTCTCATCCTGAAGCTCCATACTCGCACACAGTAACTACTCTAGGCCTGCCTGAGCTTACCTCGCGTGCACCACCTTACCTCCAAGATATCAATCTCCCCAGAGTACGGCCAAGCTCCGTACGGCCCGCATGCATCGCAAGCCTTGTTGCTGGGTAGCAGCCAAAACGCTGGCCACATGCCCTGACCTGTAAGATAGTTAGGACAGGCCAGCGCACCGTCCGTCATGGAAAGCGTGGTCGTTGGCTTGGGAGTGATGGATGAGACGGCTATCCATGCATCGGTGCATGCGGCTCCTCTAACCTCTAACCTAACGGCTACCCTAAGTGTGGACAGTTAACCGGTAATACGAACATGCTTACCCTTGGGCAGCCTAATCTTGGCTTCAAAGCGGATCCGATTGTAGACCTTGCCGCCAAAGCTCATACCGGGGTAAAAGTCGCGCTTCAGACGCGTGTCAATGCGGCCAGAGGTGTAAGCCATGCCGCTGTACGACTCCCTGCGGGCTTCAATGACCAGGTTGCCGCCCTCCAACCGTACGTTATCGGTGCGGTTCGTGTAGTACTCAAGTTCGTTATTGTAGGCTGCAAGTCCACGTATGGTGGCATTGGCAATAGCATGGGCAGGGAGAGGCGGTCTGTAAGCATGTCGACATGCGGACTCGAGGACACGAGGAGAGCTTGGGGCGGACAAGTCATTTTGCGTGCCACGAGGCATGACATTCTCGTCTAGCTTCCAAGGTGCCTCCAAAATGAGGCCATCCTCGTTAGGTGCACTCCTATAAACGGCACCATTGGCACGACTACCCCCACCGCAATACCTGTGCCAACCCAGTAGTTCCAAGAAGATGTGTCAAGGGTTGCTCCATTGAACTCATCGGACCATAGCAAGGTTGGTGTCCCGCAGCCTGTGCTTAAGGCGGTGGCCATTTAAGGCATTGGTGTGGACAATCCATTGATACCTTCCGTAAAATGCGCCGTTGCTCACCTACTGCCGACGAGCGCAGTTGTTGTGTCGCTAACGCATCTGATACGTCGAACACGGCGAGCAGCACCGCGAGGCAGTAAAGCGGGAGCGACATTTCAAGTACGCGTATCTGTTCCAGGAGTGCTGCTGATATTACAAAAAGGGTTCTACAGGTCTAACAAGAAAAATGATAGCGGTAATAAATAAGGGTAGGTGCCGACACTAAAGATGCGGCCTTCGACCGGCCTTCTCATAAAAACATTCCACTGTCAACGATTGAAAGACACTTGGAAGAACATCAAAAACTTCGTGTAACGGGGATAGGCAAACGGGAGCGGGTTCCCTTGCCACCTAGGTCCCGTATTTGTCTAATCACCGTACACCTATACGTACAGCCGTCACGTTGCCATCCGTGCTATACATGACGCAACCTCACGCGATTGGAACTCGCACTCCTTGCAGCAAAGATACTGTTCGGTGTTCACACGAGAGAAACAAACCTTGGGCGGTAAATCAGAGTCAAATGTAGTGAGGTATCCAAGCGTTTCTCGTCCAGGAGGTTGACGAGGTAAGGTGCCTGGTGACATTCCCATTTCGTATATATTCCCATTCACTATACGTTTAGACTTCTATAATGTTACATAGCTCTGTGCTTGTTAAAGGAGTGCAGAATGCAGTCAGGATCCAAAACAAGCAACATGTCGAGGCCAAGCGCACATTTTTGTACGCTGGCAATTGTTGCACGCTATAAAGGACGGAGCTAATCCGCCACCTAGATATGTTTTTTAGTCGCCTCCGAACCTTTGACCGGCATCGTACCGTACATATCAGCAATCCTCGACAAATGCACCAGTGAAGAAAACTGAACATAATACCAAATACCAAAGCGTCATACACCTTGGGAAACCCTCGGAAAAAGCCAGTTCGTAACCCTGCAACCATATGATGTACAGTTTGTGTACCGAACTCGTGTTGTACGGCAAGGCATGACGGCATCTGGAGTTCATGGCGCCCGCTCTGCCCTACGAGACGTCTGACCCTCCCCGCCCACGCACATTAACCGCCTTGTTCTGACTAGTCTGAGTCAGGCCCGGTGGGTTCGGCATTCGCTTGAAAAGTTGTTATAACCAGTTTTTTTAACCATCCCCGCCCACCTGCACATGCGGCACCACCGCCGGCACCGTGTGGCAACCGTGTGGCAACCCTGTTCGTACTAGCTGGAAGCCATGTGCCCGTTACCGTACAGCAGCACTACTGACAGCAGGAGCTACAACAAGGACCAAAACATCTTCCTTCCTTCCATCCCAGCAACGGCACGCACGTTCTGATGAAACGCTCACGCGAACCGCCTGCTCTCCTCCTTCCTCCTCATTAGTAGCCCCACACGCGCACGTAGTCAACCAGCATGCGAGCTGGGAAGGTGGTGGTCGCGTCCGGTCCGCCGCCGGGCCCTGTCCCGCCAATCGCCAGGTTGAAGATGATGTAGAAGGGTGAATCAAACGGCGCGTTGGCGCCGGGAGCAGTGCTGGTTTGGCTGGCAGTCCACCAGCCGTCCTTGGACAGCGAGCGGCTGCAACGCGGAAAGAAGGGGCGGAGGAGGAGAGAGGGGAGGGGGATAAAGAGGAAACAACTAACTGACTAACTGAGAGGGGAGGGGGAGGTTAGGTGGTAAGGAAGGTTAGACTTGGACATTTATGACAGCGCGCATGAGGGGATGGAGCAGTGGTGGCTTGACACGCAGCATGATCCCCCGTCATGAGGAAGCGTGCCTGCCTGGTTCCTCATGACGTCATGAGACTCTGCTGCCGTACCTGACAGTTGTGAAGTACAGCATGTCGTCAACGTACCACCACATCTGGTCAGCCATCCACTCCAACGCGTACGTGTGCCTGCGGGTACGGATTGTACGACAACAGGGGTGGGTTTGTGTACGCTGGGACGAGGTAGTTTACAGGCTGGCATTCCCACCACGGCACTTCACACGACACAACACCAGGCACCATTCCACACCAGCCAGCAAACAGACAAACAGACAGTTCGACAGACAGGTCGGTAGGCCCTGGGTAGGCAGGTAGCGGCAACATGCACGGCAACATACGTACCACTCTAGCGCCAGATTGTACGACGTGGGGCAGTACTTGGTTTCACTGCCGTACGCAGCACCTGCACGCGACAACAACACGTCTATGTGTTTCTGCGGGCGCGTCTGAACAGGTTCGGTAAAGCAGCGGCAGGGTGCAACAAGGCAAGGTGCACGTGCGCGGATGGAGCGCGTGCATGCAGGGTGCAACAAGGTGCAAAGTACATCTCATGCATTAAGAGCCGGGGTGCTTCTAAAACACCCACACTTGCTGCCGTAGGATATGCCACCCCAACGACTCCTACAACCTGCTGGAAACCGCCCAGGGTGGCGCCAACCCCGGACGTACCGGTACCCCGGCTGGGGCCATCAACCCAGGGCTGCTGCCCACCCACCCACCCACCTGACGCCTGGTAGCCGCCGTAGTGCATGCTGCTGAGCGCGCAGTCCATGCGGTTGACAGCCTGCAGCAGGTGGGAGGCAGGGGGCGGGCAGGTCGTGAGGGCGGGTAGGCGGAGGGCGCTCAGAGCAGGGTGTGGTTGAACCCGTGTAATTGGTCCGCGAGAGGGGACACCGACCCTGTGGCAGCTGAGCATGTGTGACCGCACGGCCCCCATGCATCACCTGCGCCGAGTGTAGATAGCTACTGGTACCTCCGAACCCCATACTGTGTGACAAATCCGTACTGCCGTACCTGCATGATGCTGATATCACCCGAGTATGGCCAGGCGCCGTACGGTCCACAGGACTCGCACGTCGCGCTGTTTGGCAGCAACCAGAACGCCGGCCAAAAGCCCTGACCTGTACGACCAACATGGGTTGGGGTTGTAGGTACGGCATTACAATCCGACAAAGAGTTCAAGGACACGCTGCAAAGCACGCGTGCACGTCCTTTCCTGTGTAAGATTTGTAAGTATTTTAACCGTCATTGCGTTATGGCACACCCAGGTAACTGTGCTGTGTCGGCCCCATGCACCGCAGATCCCGGTACGCGCAAGCGCCATAAAGCCCCAACATGGTTTCCACTGCTGCCGGGCATGCATGCGTGCCGCTTTCCTACGCTTTATCGGCGGCTCAACATCAGGCAGCTCTTCCTTAGCTTTCCGGCGGAATCAGCCTGCCCTTGATTTTGCATACAAATTACCGCAAAAGCTTACCCTTGGGTAGCTTGATTCGCGCCTCAATCCGGACCTTGTCGTACACCACCCCACCCGCGCTCATTCCCGGGTAGAAGGCGCGCTTGAGGCGGGTGTGCACGCGGCCCGAGGAGTAGCCCAGGTAGTCTGCGTGCGCCTCCAGCACCAGGCTGCCGCCCTCCACCCGCACGTTGCCGGAGCGGTTGGTGTACACCTCCACCTCGTTGTTGTAGGCTGCGCGACAGGGGTTCAGAGAGAAACAAAACCATATGAAACCGGACAAGTGAGGGCAAGGCGATGGGGATAGGAGGGGGCGAGGGAGGGGGCAGGCAGGCAGGCAGGCAGCGGCAGCGGCAGGAGAAGTGGAGCCAGGACGGGATGCATGCATGCATGTGCGAGCAGGATGGACCGCCTCAGCAGGAGCTGTTAACCGCTGCGGCGGTGCTCAAGGTCAAAGCATGTACGGAGGAGAGAAGGCATCGAGCCCCACCCCGCGTTACTGCCACCCGTACCGGTATGTATCCGCGCCCCACCCACCAGTGCCCAGGTAGTAGCTCCAAGCCGCCAGGTCCAACTGGGGTGCCGTGAACTCATCCGACCACAGCAGCGTGCGAGGGACGCACACTGCGGACCCCCATGAGAGGTAGGGGTGAGAAAGAGGTACGGCAGCATGAAGAGGCATGTGAGGTGCATGTGAGAAAGAGGTGCGCGCGGCAGAAAGGCGGGGTGGAGGTGGAGCCAAGTCACATTTGGATGAAGGCACGGGGGGGTTGTTTACCTTGACTTGGAGGAGGTGGCGGTGGGGTTGATGTAGACAGGGGCGGGGGAGGGCTAGTAGGTGGTGGGGGAGGGGGTGGAGACGGTGGCGGGGGTGGTGGTCGTGGTGGGCTGGGAGAAGGTGAGGGGCAAACGGGTGCCGGCGGGCAGGGAGGTGGTGGGGGCGGCGGCTGGCAGAGGGTGAGGGGTGGCGGAGGTGGGTTGGGGGGTGGGGGTGGTGGGGGTATGCAGAAGGGAGGCGGAGGAGGAGGGCGGGGAGGAGGAGGCGGGGGTGAAGGGGGAGGAGGGGGTGGAGGCGAGGGAGGAGGTGGGGGTGAAGGGGGAGGAGGGGGTGGAGGCGAGGGAGGAGGAGGGGGTGAAGGGGGAGGAAGGGGCGACGGCGACGGGGGAGGAGGCGGTGGGGGTGACGGAGGAGGTGGAGGTGGGGGTGAGGGGGGAGGCAGTGGTGGGGGTGCGGGAGAAGGAGGAGAGGGTGGCGGGGGAGGCGCGGATAGGGCCTTGGGTGGTGGAGGGGGATTTGGGGGAGGAGACGGGGAAGGGGAAAGTGGCCTTGGGCTTGGAGGCGATACACGGGAGGTCGGCGGCTTGCGGAAAGGTGGTGGTGGCGAGGGAGGCCTAGGCGAAGGTGGTGGTAGAGGTGGTGGGCTTTTCTTAGCTGCCGCTGAGACGTCCAGTGACCCAGCGGCCAGCAATAAGGCTAACACGCAGTACAGCGGGAGCGACATTTCCGACAACCCGGTATTAATGCGCGGGATAACTAAAGGCCAGGTGCCTTCCGTGCGAATGAAGAAAAATGTCTATGTCAGCAGGCGGCCGATATGACAGCTTTGGTAGAAACCTTCTCACGTGCCGAGCTGCCGACACGAGACATGGACGACCTTCGGTTTGCCTTCAGGTTTGTCGCACCATTACCAGTCAGTACTTTAAGTAGATACCATGCGTTGATGCAATCATATACTAGTAAGTGTGGCAGCCTCAGTTGTGGATACTTTGTACGCTTAGTTGTGCTGAAGTATACTGGAAGCCGACGTGTGTGGAAGGTCAAACGGCCGAGCGACTTAGCGCAAGTAGAATAAACGGAACGTCAGAGCAGTGCGAGGTAGCAGCGTACGTTGCTGCTCAACGTAAGTGGCCAGAGGCTGGGCGTTGCCGTACTGCCGTAACAGGAGCGGGGAGCGGTAACGAAAAACTAGTTCACGAACGGGTTCGTGACGGAGGCGTGCCCTCAAGTTCCTGCTTCATATTTTTTTAGTTCGGAGAGCACCGAGTGGTTGGCTTGCTGGTGGTTCCTAGATGTAGCCCTGAAGGTGCCAATCATTCAGGTGGCCCTAAATTGAGCCGGCGCATGAAATCGCCCGTACATTCACCCAAAGCGACACTGTATCCATCGTTAATTAAGCCACAATAATAATATAATGGTTATCTTGCATTGTGTCGTGTCAGCTTTGGTCGAAACGCCACCTATGTGCTCCACTGCCATACTTTCGCTACAAAATGGGCATGGCAAATTGAGCCAGTCGGCATAACTTTCTGGATCAGACCCCCTAATGCAAAGCGACCATATCAATATCACAGTAACAATGTAATAGGCTTTCAAACATGACCGGACGAGCTGGGAACAAGCGGAACCGTAATTTAAGGACGCCACGAGATGCACAGCGCGAACCACAACCCCAGTTAAGGCGCTGTTTGGCAAGCGCTTCGGGAATTGATGTGTATATGGTACGTAGAGGCTATGAAGAGTCCTGACAATGCTTTCCTCGTGTTCTTCTCTATGTGGTCGGACGACATGCTAGCATGTCGCCATTTGGCCTTGTGTCCAGACGGAAAGTCGATCGCACCCATAACTGACAATAACACTGAGACTTATGTATATATAGGACCTTAACTTTAAAACGGCGTGGCGTGAAACGGCTCTATGTAAGCTCCAGGGGCATTTTTCTGAGCTGGCTCAATTCAGGGAACCCCGCTGTTTCAGGCCCAAAATGTTATCCCGTCGCCCGCGCAGAAAGCCTTGATTCGGAAACCGCAACTTTGGCAGCTTGATATATATATATGTATGAGGTCTCAGTGTGCTATTTGCGACTGTCGAACTCGCAGTAACGCCTTAGTGCGGCGGGATTTAAGCAACTGGCTCAAAATAGGTACATACAGGGCTACGATGCCTTTGCGGCCTGGGTCGCTCATGTTAGTGTGCTTATTCGTTTGGTTTTTGGGTTGTGTAGTGTTTATGTTAGCTGTGTGTCATGTGTTGCTGATGGCTAGGGTGTGCGGGTGGTGGGGCCCAGTAGTTGTTGTTGGATTCCCAGTGCTTTGCAGGGAGCAGATACGACTGGTTGTCCGTTTGGTAAGTGTTAGGCGATCGAGTTGTTACATAGGATGCCAACTTACATGAACAAGCTTGTTTTGGGCGTTAATGTCTTTGCCTTGATGACAACCCGGTAGCAGCGCTTGCAGTCAGGATTCCACCTCAACTTAATGTCCATCTGTTATTCGCATACAATTTATGAAACAGGACCCCGATACGCTCCATTTGTGAGCAGAAAGCTTGGACAGCAGTGAGCATGTCTGTTGACGAGTGAGCCGCTTGAATACCATGCAGCAATACTACCATGTTGTGGGAGCTAGGGATGTTTCCGCTGCAGAATGCCTGCCCAAACGCCAGGAGCCACTGAGCACCAGCTCGTCTGATGTCAAGCGCAGTTATTTCAGAAATGCCTAGGCGCTGCATCCCATGCGAAAGCGAATCATACATGCAATCTCCGGGTCTGTACGCATAGCGTGAGTAGCGGCGCAGTCCCAGGGAACACAAGTTGTTGTCCAGGCGCTGCAACCTAAACTCTGGAGTGATTACACTACGCTCCATGGCCAAAGCAGTGGCGGAAAGCCCAATCACAGTCCGCAACGCTCCTCTTAATAGACTGTCGCGAAAAGGAGAGTTGAGGAGGCCAGTGTTCAAAGCATTGATGGTTTCCGACACAGCCACCCTTTCGGGGCCTGCGCAAAGCATATCCCGGACAGCCACATCACGCACGTTGACGGCGGCAATAGCAGTGTTTATTAATCGCAACGGTGATGCGTCAGAGCCATCTCCATCCCCAGGCACAAGTGTCGGCAACAAAGATGCCATTTAGGCCTCGCACAGCAGCTTGGTCAGGGACGTGGACATTAACTTTATCAAGAAACAATAAGTTTTGTCTGTGCCGGAATGAACGCGGAGGACATTAGCGTTGTGGTCAGGAAGGAGGTCAGCAGAATATTGATGATTTTGGTCAGTTTTGGTTATTGGTCAGGATCCGACGACCTTAAATGTGTCCAGGATTCGGTCGTAAGAACCGATTACGCAATCGCGTAATCGACCCCACCACCGTGCATTGCCCTGTAAACTAATGGTATCAATTCAAATCCGCCAATACTCGAGAACGCACAAAAAGCCTGGGCAAAGCACTCACATGGCACCACCGGACTTGCAAGACACCAAGTCCACTGACTTTCACACCATTTTGTGCTATACTGGCTAATGAGCAATGTTGGTTGCAGTAGGAAAGCTCTGGCTTGCGTTACATAGCCGAAATGTGAAGGACATGCTAACTGGAAGCTTAGTCTGCATACTTAAGGCGTTTGCGCCGCTTTAAGCTTAAATCTAGAGCCCATATGAAGAATAAAGCAGTCAATATAAGTTGCCGATTGTGGGTGATCGGGAGATAGACTCGTGGTCATTGTCAGAGTGCAGCAACCGCCACCGTACAGTGTGCTGACTTTGAGTGGGCGCCTCCGAGCGCCTTCCTAATGGGCCCGTTCTATTGCTCTGTCTGCCTGGGCACCGCCTAGGAAAGTCGCCCCGAGAATTGAGCATCTTTGTACGGTAGCGATCGCGTCGGTCGCCAAAGACGGGTCCCGCGCACCGCCTGTTTTGCTCAAAGCGCTATAGTGCTCGCATACTATTAGCCCAGCCTGGCGATTCGTCGTTGCATCTGGGTCACATCACGTGCATGGTCCGAATTGCGTCGTCGCGCCATAAGCTATAAGCGCCGTCATAGTGTAGTGATGACACAGGCGTCCTGGCCATGTGGCCTGTGAGCTTTTCGGTGAGTCGGCGCTTTGCTCTCCGTTCGCATTTACCGGATGTTAAGGATCGTTCTTCTTTTCGCATTCCTGGGCGCCGCGGCCCGCCGACCTCCCATCCTTACTGGGTTTTCTCGGTCCTGCTCTTGGTGTCTCCTGCGGCGTCGGCTTCGCCGTGTCGGGCGGTATCTTGGTGCCCGGGTTGGTGGGGTGCAACCGGTCCGGACGCTCTCCGCCAGGGCCCTACGTCCGCACTCGTTATGCCTGCTGGCGTCGTGCTTCCCGTCGTTGCCCGCAATGCGGGTGCGGAAGGCGTCGTCGCCTTGCCGGTGTTCTCGGTGGGTTCTCGATAGAGGGACGCCTTGCATTTTGGTGCCCACGCTTGCACGTGATACCGCTTCCTAATTGTCCTGCCTCGTATGCTGCCGTGGTTGTAGGCGGTGCCTGCCCAGCCGGTTCCGGTTGTGGCCGCTCATGAGCCCTCTGCCCCCGCTCGAGGAGATCCGGTGAGTCGGGTTGCGTTTTGCATTGGCGTGCCCGTCCTGCGGCTGCACCGGCTTGTCTGGCGGCCCTGATGGGCCTCCGGGAGCTTCGCTATCAGCAGATGGTGCCCGCAGCCGTCCAGGCCGTCGCCGCCGCCCCTGCCGCCGAGACCGGGCAGTATATGATCGACGGTTTGCAGATCGTTCAGCGGCGCGCCCATGCCTTCAACACGCGGCGTCGGCTGAGCCGTCATAGGGAGGAGCTTGCCATGTGGCTGCGGCGCTACGGTGCCGGTCGCACCCTGCGCAACTGTACCCCTGTGCAGGTACTGGTGTACATGGAGATGTACTGAATTCCTCGGCATGGTCGTGGTGCCGGTTCGCCTAGCCTCAGCAGCGTGCTCGGCCATCTGTCCCTCCTGTCTACGCAGGTTCTGCCGCCCGAGAGAGGACAGCGCTTTTGACGAGCTGCCTGAGCTGGGTATCCCCTGTCGCTCTGCCGAGGTCAGCCTCTACCGACGGGGATTCCCGCAGCGCGCAGCGGAGGATGGCTAAGAGGAGCGTTCGGCTGTTCCTCTTACGCCTGGGAAGTATGACGTCCTCG